GAGTGCAAGTCAGTAGACCGTCCCTGAGTCCACCCAACTCTGATGGGTACCTAACTCCTGTTAGGGAAAGTAAAGGCGGCTGGGCATAGTACTGACCACACTATCTCTTCATATGCCGAGGTCACAGAAACAAGTGAACTCTACTTCACTTGCCCCATAGACCGTCAGGTTTGAAAGAGAAACTTTTCACTTGGTGTGCAATTCTTTTTTTTATTACCACGTTTTTTAAAAATGTTTTACAGTATTTAAAAACACTTAGTCAAGTCATACTTAATCAAGTCATTAGATAAAGTAGAAAATAAACTATATAAAAAACTTTTTAAAAACCACGTTTTTCATGTGTAGCAACGGACTAAAAAGGAGAAAATAAAATACTTAAAAAAAACTTTTTAAAAAACCACGTTTTTCTTGTGGACTAAAAAGTAGAAAATAAATTTTTCTTCCGACCCTAGGGGATCTACCGATGACTGCTCGTAGATTTTGTGCTTCCTCGAGCTGTGCAGGTTCTTGTGATGACTGTTCATACATTTGATGACAAAAAACGTGGGTCGGGCAGATTTATGATTAAAGCGAAAACGTACCCACGTTTTTTGTCATCAAATGTATGAACAGTCATCACAAGAACCTGCACAGCTCGAGGAAGCACAAAATCTACGAGCAGTCATTGGTAGATCCCCTAGGGTCGGAAGAAAAATTTATTTTCTACTTTTTAGTCCACAAGAAAAACGTGGTTTTTTAAAAAGTTTTTTTAAAGTATTTTATTTAAAATTATTAACGGGGTAGGGGTAAAAAAAAAATGCAAAGTTTGATTCAATTTGGTGGCACTGAAACAACGAAGCTATTTCTTTAATAGTAAAAAATAAATTGTATAGGATATATGTATTCTGTAATGTGATTTCTTAATTAATTAGCTAATTAATTATCGCTAAAGTAATATTTTTTAGTTTATCTATCTATCTATATATATAATTCTCCTCTTCGAGCCGTTAGAAAACAAGCTGCAAACGCTCTCCCTACCTCCCCACCCCTACATGGTTTTAGTGAGCTGTGTTCACTCTAAATGTTTACAAGCAGAGCCAACGATTTTAAACGTAGGGGGGGGGGGGGGGGGAGGGGGGGGGGGGAAGGAAGGGGGGGGTTATGGTCCTTAACGAGCTACTTATAGTGTTTTAAAGAAATATTTTCAGTGTCAGCGTTGGTACTGTCGAATTCACAAATTATGAATGATTGAAAATTAGAAACAACTAAATAGCGGCGTATGTTATGCCGCGGGCCGGCTCGTATATATATAATTCTCTTCTGGGAGCCGTTAGAAAACAAGCTGCAAACGCCTCCTTGCAGTCCCCTCTCTTTCTCTCTATCACTATCACTACCACCCCCATCCCCACATTGTCTGGTGAGCTGTGGTCACGCTAAATGTTTACAAAGCTAAATGTTTACAAATCGTAGAGCCGTAGAGCCGGGTTTCTATTAGGGGCAGATAATTTAGTTCGATTTTAAACTTACAGGAGGTAACTAAGAAATAACTAAGAGGAGGCTGCTTTCACGGGGGAGGGGGGGGGGGTAGGGTCGGGGTTAGGGGAAAAGGGGGGGGGGGGAGTTAGTGTTTTAAAGCAAATATTTTCAGTGGCAGCATTGGTACTGTCGAATTCACAAATTATGAATTACTGAAAAGTAGAAAATAAAACAACAAAATAGCGGCGTATGATACGCTGCGGGTCGGCTCGTTAGTTTATATTTGTTAAGGCACGACACACTACCATGCGTGTGTGGTATGGTGGTTTGACCTATTAAATATATTATTTTTTTGAGTGTATAATTAAATCAATGCACACCGGGGATTCGTTTTGCCAGGGAAATGATGACAAAAAAAAATCGTCGTCGGCGGTAATAATACAAAATTTGACACAATACAGAACATATGTTTGCGACGGCAGCGGCTTAGAGCACGGTGATGTTCACAGACGATTTATCTGGCGGTTTCGAACTGAGTGGTATTCTAAGTCGACACAAAAGATGGGGAAGTTGACAAATCATCAGTAGGCCTGTGTCTAATGACGGAATTTTTTTTAACAATACAAACGAAACGTCTTTGAAATCTGCATTAAATATCACTGTAAATCGGTGCGGTAAAATTTTCGCAAATATCTTCGCAATTTTCCACCATCCATGATCCAGCGCCAGTATCGAGTGGTGGTAATTTGTGAGGGAAAAATGTCAAGTGACCGACGGTTATCGCGCCCTTCTCGCAAATTACCGCCTCGCCAATTCGCGTCTCGCAGTTTACCAACAACAGCACTACGTAAGCTTGCTAAGTCACATGCTTGAGGTGATTTTGGTTTTAGTTTCGGTTTAGAGAAACAGACTAGGCCTACACTATCAACCAAGCGCCCGTTGTATTTCTCCCTCAATGGGCCCGTTGCGAGCTTAGTTTACTAAACTGATTGTGCGAAATAAAGAGCTTTATGTACGTACCCTGGTACAGCTTAATATTTGACTAAAATAAACGCGGAAGCTAAATGTATAGCTTAATATAGGAATCATACGCATTTCATAGACCAATAACACGCATTAGGGTCGTCCATAAATGACGTCACAAAAAAAAAATTAAATATAATTTTTTTTTTGGGGGGGGGGGGGGGGTTGTAGGCTTAGGTGTAACGGAGGGAGGGATGGAGAGGTAATTAAAACTCGTCATTTATGGATGACCCCAATAGTGTTACATGGGGTATGTGGAAGGATGATGGTGTATTTCTATGTTATATGCCTAATGACGATGTCTTTCAATTTTTTAATTATAATATTTTTTTCATTGTTTTCACATACAGTGACTTAGACTGTGCAGATGAAAAGGTTAACTCAGCTGACTTATTATATGGGCTACAGAGATTTGTTTTTTAATTGTGGAATGTAGATAATGTGACAAAATATCGAAACATCAATTTAGTAATAGCGGTCATCGACGTTGTCAAATCGTATTGGTAATTGATTCAATATTTTAAAAAAAAGTCCGTTGATAAATATCAACGAGTTTCGCGTTAAGTTACAGAAAGTGGTAAGTGTAAGAAACCAATAGAAAAAACATCGAAGAGTACTGCCTTGATAAAAACAGTAGGGCTTATTTGTGGTACTAAAGTTCTTACATTTCAAAGAAAAAAAACAACTTAGTATTGCTTAACGATTTCACACAATCAGACACGGCTTACGGACTTACGTGGCCTATAACAACGTGTATCGTCTCTTTTAAGCCCTTATCTCCCAATTATAATTATGTTGAAGTACTCTCTCATTATCTTTGGGTCACCTCTTTAGGCGGAGACATTTTTTTCTCGCATGCCCATACAGGATGACCTAGAATTTACTAGAAAATATAAATACATACTGACGAAATAATACTGAAAGCCAGGGATGGGAGTAGGACAGTATAAAACAGCATGCAGCAACAGTAGAGGGGACAGACGACGTACACGGATGTGATAGGTAAACACATGTTACACATTTAAGGTAATACCTGGATCATTGTTTCTTACACATAAATAAATATAGAGTGTACTATAAATAAAGATATATATATATATATATATATATATATATATATATATATATATATATATATATATATATATATATATATATATATATATATATATATATATATATATATATAATCTTCACTTTTATTAAATGTTTCGCGAACTGCATCTTCGTGTGTGTATCTCTGAGTATATACATGAACACGGCGGTGTGTTAATAATAAAAAATAGAATCCTACGCAAAATGTAAAAAACACAGTACCCATTCATGCAATGTTGTCAAAGGAATTACTGACACACGGGGCACACCAAGATAAGAGTCCCTTCGATAGCCCCCCCCCCTACCTCCTTCTAAAATGATATCATTATTAAATTCCACCCCCCCCCCCCCAGAGATTACGCATAACACTTGTTCTGTAGAAAATTTAAGAAAATATTCAATCTGGGGAAAAAAAGAAACCTTTGTTTTAAAATATGTTACTTCTAATATCCTATACCGTCCCTCTCTACCTACACAGTTTACCCCCCCCCCCTTCCCCTGAGTTTCGTCAATTTTAAGTGGGTCAAGGCATAAACATGCAGCACAATCAATATAAGAAATGCAACCTGGCATTTTTCTCCGGGGAGGGAGGGGGGGCTTTAAACTCTATGGGGACGCACTTATTGTATCATGTAACTTATGTAGCAGACAGACAACACAATTAGTTGACCACAATCCTTGTAAAGCTAGAAATACATACATCTTTTTCTATCTTTTAACAGAAGCTCATGGACGCTATATGTGGAAAAGAATTTCTTTGGGTATAAACTATTATTTTACCTAAAACATTAACAAAGTAAATAGATTATGTTGTAACACTGAGTAAATATGCTTTCACTATCTAATAAGAAGATTCAGATCGGGGGGAGAAGGGAATGGATAAGAACATTTAAAAGAAAGAATATATTTACCTCCCTTGATCAATCGATAACAGCCGACCGCAAATATCTACAATAAGTCTACATTCACTGTCGTCGACTAGGGTGGGGAATTAGTAAAAAAAATGTGTAGAGCTAGATTCTAAATTAAAGTAATAATTCTTCAGTGTAAATCCACACCTGTTGTTTCATTAAACCCAAAAGCCGCGGACAAGAGCTTTCCAGGCGACTCAGCAATGAGCTAATTTCTCAACCTGCCCACGGTGATAACATTCTTCTTGGGGGTTCTCCTCCAGTTCAGGTCACTAAGCCGAAGATGCTCTACTCTAAATAACTCAGTAAATTTATTTAATAAAAAATAGGCCGCTAGGGGCCTATAGGCCCTACGGAACAGTGATGAACAGCAAATTAATTGACTAGAGTTGTCGGTCTTTAGGATACATTTTTGTTTACTATTTAGTATTTAGGCTACACAATCACACCAACTTTAAGTATTTAAAAAAAATTGTAATAGCGGGAAAAAAACATTAAATTTTTGTTTCAGGACAGAAACTTAACGTGGACCAATAACTCCTGGCCACAGTTCACGGAATGTTTCCAGAACACAGTCTTAGTATGGGTCTGTTTCGGCTGGATTCTCCTCACGGCGCCCTTCTATGCTGCCCATTTGATTTCCATCCAAAAAGTAAACCGCCCTTTCGGTTGGCTGTTTCTAAGCAAGCTCGTGAGTTGTTTTTTTTTTAAAATGTATACTTTAAAAAAAAAAGGGATTTAACACAAAACAGTTTTTAATATTTAAAAAAAAAGTCCAGTGGTGTATATTTTCGATCTATTTTAGTATGTAGATCTATCATTGTATGTATTATGTAAGTAAAACAACGGAAACCAATAAAGAATCTGGTATTTTTATATAAAGTGTTTTTTATTTTTAATTTATTTATTGGATTATTGTACTAATAGTAAGTACTATTCATTTGTTTTTTAACAGTTCTGTTTCAGAAATAATAATTAATATGACTATGACTATGAGAGAGTCATTTTTTTTTATCAACAATGAATTTATGCATGTTTCAATTATTATGCAAAATGGTTTTCTAATAATTTTGTTTTTTAGTTTCTCAGTGTTTTTCTGGCTGTTTTGAAAATTTCGGATTCAGTCCTTAAATTGGAATCACAGACACTCTACACAACTGTATTACCTCCCTTATTTATGGTACTCGCTATGGTAAATATTACCTTTATTTTATTTATAGTAAATTCCCCTCATGCAACAAGTAAGATTAACTCTTCCTTACTTATGATTGAGTTTAGAATGGATTGTGATATTTTCATAGAAAAACTTTTAAAATTTTGAAATGTTAGCCTATTTAACACTTTTTAAATTTTGAAGTTAATAATAATTTCATGGTATATGGAACACATACAAATTATGTCCCCTGTTTGTGCAAAATGCTCTCTCAAAAAATAATTTTGATTCTGAACTCTGTTGAAGAATTTAGTTTTCTCACAATTATTAAAATTAAACAATATATTTTCCCAGAGTCTTCATTGCTACTTGGCCTACCTGGAGTGGTCAAGAAATGTAGTGCGGTCACCTATTTTATTTTTCTTCTGGGTTCTTGTTGCTGTCATCAAGTTGATTTACTTTTACCATTCTATAATGTTGCAGGTATAGCTTAAGGTTTCCACAAATTTTATCTCATCCATTATTACTTTAAAAAACTAATTCCAAACATGTTATTTTTTTTCCATTTTATTTAATTCAATTTTTACATTATAAAAACAATATCAAAATTGATCACTTTGTTTCACCACATATTTTTTTTCTTTTTCAGGAATATACTCTTAGCAAAGTAAATTTTGGGTTGTTGTCAGTCAAGTTTTTTATTTCAATATCTGTTGTGATTATCTATTGCTTTTCTGATTATCATGGGGAAAAAGTAAAGGTAAATCATGCTGTAAAATGCTTATTATGTTTTTTGTAATTACTTAAAATAATTGCTAGATATTGGAATAACAATATTGATTATATATGTTGGGGGTGAACCAAGATGTTGTTATTGTTCACTTCATCCAGGCATCTTTGTTGGGACAAGGAGCTTTATAAAACCAGAACAAATGGGATAGGCTACTAGCCAAATTATGTAAAACAAACATCATCTACATCTTTACTGTAGTTTCTCTAATTAGTTTTTTTTTCTTTGCTCATTAGGAACGAAACCCAGAGATGTTATCGCCTCTTTTGTCTTGGGTAACTTTGGCTTGGTTTGAAAGGTAGGCCTACAATAAATTATTTCACGAAATACATGCATCCTTTGTGGGTGTTTAAGGATTAAATTTGGATGATCTAGTAATTCAGTATTAGAACTTTAGTTTTTAGAATAGCATACCTAGGCTACACATCTTAAGTTTAAAATTCCCCAAGCTTACCTAAAACTTCAATAAGGTATTTTATAATTAACATTTAAACAATAAGTCTGACACAACAGGTAAAATAATTAAGAACTAATAAAAGCTGAAATTTATTGAACAATAACGCATTCATCAATTTTAATACAGTGATTTAAAGTTTAAAAAATTGTACATCATAAAAAAACTTTGCTATTGTTTGTTAAACTTTTCTCTTTTAGATAAATTGTTGTTTATATTTATAATACATTATTTTTACAGTAAAAATAAGAATTAAATAAAATTTCCGTATTTTTAAAAATAAGCAACTTATGACCAGTTAGTTATTTGTGTTGTTCACAGTTTTGTGCTCAGAGGATGTAGAACTCCTATTAAAGATGAAAATGTGTATGAACTTAACCCTAGAGATAAAGCTGAGAAGGCATTCAAAAGGTTGTGTGGAGTTTGGAATCAGGAAGTTCAAAGTTTACACAGGTAAATCTTAAAATAACGTTCAGCTGAAACGTGTATTCATATTATAGATCTATACATTTGTAAAATTGCAGATTTTATTGATGTTACTTCATTAAAAGTATGATAAGAATATTCAGAACTGAACTAAGTTGTTATCAATTATAGCTTTAATATATATGTACTAGTTTTCTGTTTGTATTATATTAATATTTATACAGTAAAAAAATAATTATCAATCAGTAGGCCTATAATGTAGTACTTCAATAGAGAGGTTATAGAAAAAATAAATATTGTTATATACAGAAATAATATAGGGCCATGTAGCATTATGAGCCTGTATGGTTGTTTGTGTGTGCCTGTGTGTTGAAGCAACTGTTTCATTAATAGTATAATACTTACAGATTTATCATTTGTTATGAACTAAAACATTTTTAATTTCCTCAGAAGACGAAGAAAAAACAGCATGACTACCAAAATAGAATCGGAAATCCCCTTGTTGCAGAGATCTCCAGATATTTCTGAGACAACAAATGAAGAGTCTGTCAATGGCTTTACACCTATGCACACAACACCCCCATCTCCAAACAACCAAACATGGAAAAAATGTGGAAGTAACCACAATAAAACTGAAGGGAAACTAAAGGAAATATTAAAACTGGGATCAGCTGAGAAAATGGATACAAGTGCAAACATAACAAAGACTGGAGTTTCTCTGTTTAAAACTATGGTCAAATGTTACTGGAAGGAAGCTATCTCCTACCAATCTGGCTTGCTGGTTCATGTGGCTACAAACATTTTATGCCCAGTTGTTCTGGGGTGAGTTGTCTTTGATTACTTAAAAAATCATCTTTTCTCATTCATGCCCAAGACACATGGGGCAGATGAAGTAGAGTTCATCTGTTTCAAGGACCTTAGAATATGAAGGAATAGTGTGGTCAGCACTATGCTCAGCTACCTAGGCTTTTCCAACATGAGTCAGGAGCCCATCAGAGCTGGGTGGACTCATTCTACAGTCTGGAACCTGGGATTCGAAATCAAAACTTTTGGGTTAGCAGTTTAGAGCTTTACCATCGGACCACACTGCCTACAAAACAAACATGAAGTAGACTATTTAGAAAAAGAAGAGCAGAAGAGGCTAACTTTTTAAAACAATATACAATTTTTGAAATATGGTGATAGTTAAAATTAAGTAGGCCTATAAATCATTAATTAAATTTAACCATAACATTCAAAATTTGTCTTGTTTTCTTTTCTATTCAGTAATGCCAGCATTAGTCACCAAATTTAAATAAAAAGGACCTTAAAATTAGTGATTTACAATCCTAATACCATGTTAAGTCTTATTCTTCCTAATCATAAAAATATTTCAAACATATTGTATCAGATGGCTGATTAATTTTACCAAAGACCCATCAGAACAGAATTGGCATGGGTATATTTATGCCCTGGCCTTCATTTTGCTGAGGACTTTGTATGTTTTTTTTGTCATACTTTCCAAATGGATGCTTCTTTGTTTTGCCACACGTCTGAGGAGTGCTGGTATTGGATTTGTTTTTAAAAAGGTATTTACACATTTTTTTAGTGGTATTAGTTTCCAAAATGTGCTTCATGAATAATCTTCAAATATCGAGTAATTAAAAAATGTAATTAATTTTTATGCTATTTTTAGATATAACAAAAATTTTTAAAACTTAAATTATAACTATTTCCTGTCCAACTCTCTCCAACTCTTATTTTATGTTGCGTAACATTTTTTTTCAGGCATTAATGTTGAGCAATGAAGCTCGTAAAACCTCAACCCTAGGCGAGATTGTGAATTTGATGGCTGTCGACACAGGCCACCTAGAGGCTATGGTGATGACTTCTATGTGGGCTTGGATGTGTGCAGCTTTTCTAGTCATTGGGATGTACTTGCTCTTCTCAATTGCTGGTGTTGCTACAGCTGCAGGTATTTAAAATGAAATACACACATTTTTAGGATAAAATTATTTCAAGCACACACAAACAACATACTTGTCATCTAACTTTGATGTGCTCTGTTCCCGTAGACTTAAATGGTGGGGATACTAGATAATACTGGCCATTGAGGTTCTCAGTCCCAATAACACCCAGGGCTACACCTCTGATATAATACTAATTACACTGATACACAATGATGAATGTAGGCATTGGAAATAAGTAGCCTTTGAAAAGCTTTTTGGGATTTGTCCTTGTAATTTTATTTAAAGATGTGCCTTGTCTGCCATTAAATTTAGTGACTCAATTAATGCAATTAAATTAGCTGAAACTTTCTTCAACTTTTATTTTTTGATGTCAATGACAACACATACCAACATTCCACGTTGCCTTTGAAGTGAAATATAATGCATTTACCAACAGGTCTGGGTTTCTTGCTGATCATGTTTGCTATCAACATTTGGATGAATCAGAAGATGAGGGTTTACCAAGAAAAAATCATGGGCATCAAAGATGAAAGAATAAAAATAATCAATGAAGTTTTAAATGGCATCAAGGTAGAGTATACAGATTGGCTATCTGTTTGATTTAAATAAAATGTCAATGTGCTGTTAGGTTAAAACATTCTTTAATTTAATGATGTTTTTACCAGGTTATAAAATTGTATGGCTGGGAGCCAATGTTCATCCGTAAGATTGAGGAAGTAAGAGAGAGGGAATTGAAAATCCTCCTCAAGTACTCCATCATGTCTGGGATTGACTCATTTTCTTGGCGTGTCTCCATGGTTTGGGTGAGTGTCTGTTTAAATCAGTGGTTCTTAATCTGGGTTCAATCGAACCCCAAGGGTTTGGTGAGCCAGTCTCAGTGGTTGGGCGGAGGTCAAGACACACTCGTGACTCGTGATTTGCTATCAGATTTTGTCAATGCAGACTATATAACTGTTTAGAAGGGTTTGGTGAATGTGCACAAGAAACTGAAAGGGTTTGGAACTTCAAAACAGGTTAAGAACCACTGGTTTAAATCATAATTTTAAATTCAGAAAACTGTACTGAAATTTTTATTTTATGTTTGGTTAACAGACATATTTGTTCCCTTTCTTTCTGTGAGTGGTAGTTTTTTGTTTTAGTAATTTAGAAATCTAAGTTAATAGACTTTCCAGCAACCTCTGAGTAAGGAGGCACTACTTGTTTAGAGTGTAGGCCTACTGCAACATTGGGCAGTGCTTCTTGTAGACTGAGCTTCGTTGCTTCAGGTTTTTCATAGAGTTGACTTAGCTTACAAAGTGGAATAAAAATAATTCTTGATTTTTACAGCCTCTCTCTATGTAATTGTCCCCAAAGTAAAAAAAATTTGAAAATGCATTCATCACCTGATCTCTATCTTTGTTACTGCTAAATATAACTCTTGAATATTTGTTTAACAGTGGTTGCAAATTATAGCTTTATAAATTCTTTATAAATGGAAAATTATTAGAAATTACTTTAAAAATGTATATTCAAGTAAGTGATTTTTCCCCAGATTTTATATTTTATACTGATCACATATTTGTTCACCTCAACTGATGAAAACTTGGATGCGGAGACTGTGTTTATGAGCATGAACTACATCAATCTTATCAATTTGGCTGTGAATGTACTGCCCATGTTTGTCAGAGATTTTGTCAAGGTAGACTATCCATGCTGATTAGAACGTTTGATAGGAAAATTAAATATAAATTTGCAGATAGCATTCATTTTATTAAGTAAATAAATATATAATTTTCCTTTTCTTGTTTAATTTTCTTCTTTGTTTACCTGTTTAATAAATATAAAATTATTTTTTTGAAAGATTATGGTAGTTTGAAATGCCTATAACATTTAAAAATTGTCTCCCATTATTTAAGGCCAATAACTCTGTGAAAAGATTAAATAAATACCTCAATGCAGAGGACATACATTCTGAAAACACCACACGAGACAGATCAGATGGTAAGCTGTTATGTCAAAAACTATTTCTCTTAATTTTATATTAGGTAGATATTTTTCAGCTCACTAAAGTTTTTTTTGACCATAACATTAAATAGTTAAATGTAAGTTTTTATCGTTTAAATTTTTTTTAGCTGTGGCAATTCGAGTTGATGATGCTGATTTTGCCTGGGAAAAATCAGGAATGTGTACACTTCAAAAGTAAGATTTAACACAGATAATTTGTATTGGTTACTTATTCATTTGACAATCATAATGTGTTATTACTGATAACAATGGTAGGGCAGGGGTCGGCAACCTTTTGAGACAGAAGAGCCAAAAGTCACAATTTACAAAATTTCCCACCTTTTAAAGAGCCACTAACACTTTAACTTCAATATTCCTATTACGATCTTTGATAAGGATAAGGTATATATATATATATATATATATATATATATATATATATATATATATATATATATATATATAAAAGTATATGTAGGTGTGTGTGTGTGTGATAATACGGCACACGACATTCGATGATTAAACCGATCTAGGAGCTAAACGTGGCGCACCTGCGATTGTGTAATCGGGTTTACAAGAGCGCCACTTTCTGTCCCAGACACTTGGGCGGTGACTGATTTAACTTACACTCAATGCTTTCATACAACACGCCCTATGGCGCGCTGGGCCGTAGTGAAGGTAAACCCGTGCTCCGATAAATATGATCCAAGTACAGGCTATGTTTAAATTGTAATAACTCTGTTTTAGAAAATAATGAAGTACATTGAAAAATGGAGAAAGTAAATATTCTAATAGAATAGCGAGTGTTTATTGTTTATATTTATTATTATATTGTTCATTACTGAGTGTTGCAGACTAATAATTTTATGAGTTTTAAAATAAAATAAAATAATTATTAGTATTTGTGGAGCTGAAGAGCCGCACCTTGACATCAAAAGAGCCGCATGCGGCTCGCGAGCCGCAGGTTGCCGACCCCTGTGGTAGGGGATTAGTTATGTTATTTAGGCTGAGAATATTGTTAGGTTTGTGATATTTTATAGGATTACATATTCAATGTTTCTACCAAGGTCAATTAAATTTGGCCTTTTAGCCTTTATATGGTGGAGGATATTTTTAAGGTGTTATAAACATTAATTAAAAGAGAAGATGAAAGTAGCTACCAACACAAATTGAATGGAGTACATTCACTTATTAATGGGCTATCTGCAGAGTTTCTATACATTTGTCTCATGACGCAGCTATTTCAACAGAATTATTTTTTTACAATTAGATTTTTTTCTTTCCAAACTTTGTTTTTTAATTAAAACAACCTCTAGCTATAACAAATTTTTGGCGAATTACACATGATTTCTCTCTTACATTCTATTTCACCCAAGCATAAACCTATCAGTTCCTAAAGGACAGCTGGTGGCTATTGTTGGAACTGTGGGCTCTGGGAAATCTTCCCTTCTGGCCGCCATATTAGGCGAGATGCACAAAATAAAAGGCTATTTTAATATAAATGTAAGTCAATGTATTAATATTGATGTCTATAATATCGAAGTTCAGTGAACCTCTATTGAATAATGTATTGTAATTTAATATTTTAAAGTTGGGTTTTATAATGTTTACGAATCAACTAATAGACTTAACATGCAAAAGTAAAGGCAGTTTTGTACAGTTTTGAAGTCAGACAAACATAAGAACTCTTTTACTTCATCTGTCTCAAGTATCAATTAGTCTGAAGGGTACTACACTTTCAACATTTTAAATGGTATTGACAATAATGTTATAAATGTCTACTCTATTACTATGTATTTTTAAAGTGGATGATCTTTTTAAACATTTAAAATTGTGTTTTTATCCAGTCTTCCACAGCGTATGTACCCCAGCTAGCTTGGATCCAAAACAAAACTCTGAAAGAAAATATTTTGTTTGGTCAACAACTGGATGAAACTTTTTACCAACAAGTTATCTCCTCCTGTGCCCTGGGGCCAGACCTGGAAATATTGCCAGCAGGAGATCAAACAGAAATTGGAGAAAAGGTAACTTTTTACTAAAGGGATGGTTTTGTCAAGTGTTTAATTACTAACCTGAATGTCTGAAGTGTACTCAGAAATTCCTAAATCCACCCTTTTAATTGAGTATAAGGGGCTTACTGCTGATCACACATATGCAGTTGGTGAAAAGAAGCATTTAAACTTTAAACTCAAGCTTATTTGCAAACAGAAGTATGCTCAAAGTAAGCTCAGGAAAACTCAACATCTTTATTTTTAAATTATTTGAATTAAAAAGTTAGATAATGTAGAATGAAAAAGGGAAAATAAAAATAGATTCAAATATTTTCTTAACTAGTGTAAATTACTGTTAATGAATCATATGGAGTTTAGCCTTTGTACATGTAAATGTGAATGTTTTCGTATTAAAACTATTTTAATTAATTTTATCATTCAATATCAGGGCATAAATTTATCTGGCGGTCAGAAGCAGCGTGTGTCGCTGGCCAGGGCGGTGTACAGTCAGGCTGACATCTACTTACTGGATGACCCTTTAAGTGCTGTGGACAGCCATGTTGGCAAACACATCTTTGATCATGTCTTAAGTAATGATGGCTTGCTTGCTGGGAAGGTAAATTTCACATGAAATACACATAACTAATACAGCTTTTACACTTGCGACATGTATACTATACATTTCTAGGAAAAAAAACTTCGCTATAGGACCTAAGATAATAGGGGAGCCTACTCACTTATTGCGAAGTTTTTTTTTCTAGACGTGTATAGTATACATGTCGCAAGTGTAAATGCGGTATTAGAAATTCAGGTGTGCTTCTGTCATCCAGGAAGATTGTTCTACTCTATTCATCCTAGAATTGTCGTTGCTGTGGTTGTTTTTTTTTTTAAACTTTAACACAAAAGCTGATTGTTTTAAAACTACAAACCACATCTTTAATTCCAGGTAAAAATTATTATATTAACCTTAAACTAAACATTTTGCCATATGTTTACTATTTATTAGCACTGAACATTTAATATTTTTCTTGCAGACAAGAGTTCTAGTCACTCATGGAATACACTGGTTGCCCTCAGTGGATCATATCATAGTGATGTCTGATGGACAGGTCTCTGAGTCTGGCACTTATGAGCAGCTGATGAGTCACAATGGAGCCTTTGCTCAGTTTTTAATTCAACATCTCAAACAGGAGGTGACAAATACATTCATAAGTGAAGAAGTTGTTCAGGGTATGTTAACTCTCATTTAATGCTCTTTTTGTAATTCCGACGTATATTTATTTTGTTTGGATATCATTTAAAAAAAAATATGTTATGCCTATTTACGATTAGAGGTACATTAGGTTATCCTTTTACTAAGCAAGTCTGTGAAGAAGAAGTTTCCTGAGTTCTAATGGGTATTTATGTTAGGGAAAGTAATGAAAAGCTGGACATTGTATTGCCATCAGTGGCGTAGGCAGGGGGGGGGGGGGGTTAGGGGGGGTCATAACCCCCCACCATAGACCCCTCGGTATATATATAAAAAGTATGAGGGTGGGGTGCAAATCGAAAGTTTGAGGGGGGGGGGTGCAAATCGAAAGTTTGAGGGGGGGGGGAGTGCAAATCAAAAGTTTGAGGGGGGGTGCAAATTGAAAGTTTGAGGGGGGGTGCAAATCAAAAGTTTGATGAGGGGGGGTGCAAATCGAAAGTTTGGGGGGGGGGGGTGCAAATCAAAAGTTTGTCCCCGGGTAAAAATTGGAACCCCCCTTGAGACTATCCTGGCTACGCCACAGATTGCCATCATATACTGTGGTCAAAGAAATTTTATCTGAAAAACTTCATCATTTAGATTAAAATAAAAATAATAATTTGCACTTTTCTTCAAAATATATTTAATGCTTGAGTTATTACAATCATGAAAAGATAAAAACCAATTGACAATCGTTTTTGAAAATGACACAGATGACAATACAAGAATTGATATTCTAAGACGTCTGGTGTCTGTGACAAGTGAGAGTGAGGTCAGCATGATCTCTGACGTGCTAGAGATGGAGAGGTTGTCCACTACTTTATCCAGCAGCAGAAGATCCATATATGGGAGTCAACAGCTGATGGAACATACTGGGGTCAAGCGCAGAACATTAAGGTGCTAGTCATATATATAAAGCTTTACAATTTTAAATACATAGAACATTAAAGTTTCTAATCTTGTCTATTAAGCTTTATAATTTTAAATACATAGAATATTAAGGTGCTAGTCTTCTCTATAAAGCTTTAAAATGTTAAGTACATAGAATATTAAGGTGCTAGTCTTCTCTATAAAGCTTTAAAATTTTTAATACTGTGTGATACTAAAGAGTATTTCTCCATATCTTATGGAAAAGTTCTAATGATCAAGAAATTAATTCGATGTTAAGATTGCAAAAATACTTTACTACACTTATAAAACAATTTGTAAACTGAAAAATCAAACTATCACATTTTATATTTAGCAGTGGAAGTTCACAACATAAAAGGTCAAATGAAAACTTAAAAGAAACAATTGCAACATTAGAAAAGAAATCACCTGCTGAAAAAGAAAAATTGGTAGTAGGCCAAAACAGACTCACTTCTGATGAGAAAATGGAAGTTGGAAAAGTGTGTTTTTTAATTAAAACTTTATCTATAAAGTATTAAATTATTTTCAAAAAATTATAAGTCTTTAAATTAACTTATATAATAATATAAAATATAGGAAATTATCATAATATAAATTATGCCAAAGCTTTTTTTTAATTTACACAAAATTTAGTACCTTTTGTCATTGTTCAATGGTGGATTCATAAATCCTCAAAGGTTCTTGGCTGAGTTGTGCTGGAGAAAGTAAAAGTGGCTGTCACAGATAGACTGCACAATTTATATAGCTAGTCTGAATAAACAGATAAAACTCAACATTTTTACTACACTCATTCATTTGTTTTTATTGGCCAACATATTCTCTTTTGGGCTCAGCTGCTATCTTGAAAAAAGATGAATCCTTATCCTGCCTAGTTGCATGTTGCATTGAGTTACTTTACTACAATTTACTATAACCATATTTTTTAATATATTCTTAATTTCATTATTTTAATATTTAGGTCTCTTGGTCTGTCTATGGAGAATTGATGAAAAGTCTGGGAAATGGGCACTCTTCAGCTGTCCTTATCCTCTTGTTTTGCTACCATGGAGTGGTCAACTATTCAAATATATGGCTTGCTGATTGGACTGATGATATCAGGCTGGGCAATAACACATTAAGAAACAGCACAGAGAGATCTGAGGCAAACAAGTTTTATGTTGAAATCTACACAGGATTAGCTTTGATTTTAAGTAAGATTACAATTAAATTTTATTTAGTTAGATCTTTGAATTTAACAAATTTCATAGGCCTACTAATGGAGTAGAGAAAAAAATAAAAAAATAAAGCAACTTAAACATAAAATAAACATGTCTAGATCTGTGTTGAATAGTGTTGATATTAGTAGCTATATCTAGGTCTACTCAAATAATCAGATATAAAAATGCTAAAAACCTAGTGAGTTGCTGCATAGATACATAATGTGACCACTGTCACAGTTATAACACAATCGCCTATGTCATGTTTTCATGTTTTGAGAAAACTGAATACCTTTAGTATTACTTCTGTTATGCCACTATTGTACAATTGGCCCCATAATAGTAGGTGGGCGTGGTCGTGTTGGTTAAGCGTATGGTTGCTGAACCGATAAGTCCCAAGTTTGGGGAATCCCTTTCAATACTTAACGTAAGAATGAAGAAGAAGAACAACATAATACATAAATTTATGCATCTTTAAAATAAAACACTGCTCTTTTCTGATAATATATTAATCATTTTCTAAATTATTTTTTTTCTATTAACTTTCTTTGACAGCTTTCTTCAAAATAGTCTTTGTTATACTGTTCCAAATTGGGCAGATCAAAGTATCCAGAAAGCTCCATAGTGATCTTTTATCAAGCATCATGCATGCTCCAATGAGCTTTTTCGATACAACTCCCATTGGTCGGATTTTAAACCGCTTCAGCCAGGATGTGGACAGCATTGACAGCTACATATTCATTAGTCTAGAAACTTGTCTTGACACTTCCTTTAGGTGTATCAGCACATTTGTTATCATCAGCTACACTATGCCAGTTTTTTTGTCAGTTGTCATTCCAATTATCATTGTACTATATTTTGTGGAGGTGAGTTGTCTTGAACTATGATAGTTGTTTGACCTTTTTTGTATGACCTGATAAAAATATAATTTTATAGTCCCTTAATGCAAATAAGATGTAGATGATTATATACCGTTAGACTTGTCATAGAATTAAATAGCAATTAAATATAAAATGTTTTATTATAATATGAGATTAATAAAAGAAAACTTATAATGCATTATACAAAATTTAAAATAAAAGTTTTTATTACTTTTAGTTGAAACTATATCCATTAGTAGAAAAATGTCAATTTAAAAATATAAAAAACTTCTTCCTCCAGCAACTTTACATTAGATCATCTAGTCAGCTACGCCGCATCACCTCCAAGAACAGGTCTCCAGTCTATGCACATTTCAGCGAGACCTTGTCAGGAGTTAGTGTCATCAGGGCATATCAAGCGCAGGACAGGTTTATGGCAGAATCTCTAGAAAAAGTTGACACTTTTCAAAAGTCACATTTGGCATCCAAGGCACTGAACAAGTAATTTTTTTTCTGATGTTCTTGTTGTAATTCTAACAACTTTCAACCAAAAAACATTTAAAGTAGTAGTAGTTTTTGTTTAAAAGGAAGAACATTAGTTCTTATTTTTTTGCAGTTATTTTCTGTGAGTACCATTCAGATTTATACTCTAAGGCTGGTGAAGGCTTCTGTGAAATTAATTTTTTAATGAAGTGTCACCTCAGTTCTAAGCATTATGTCAGCCTTGTAGTATCTGTGCATGTAAAATCCTTGCCGCTAATGACATCTTTACTGCTTACAGGTGGCTTGAATCTCGGCTGAATGTCTTAGGAAATATTGTCATCACCGCTGCCTGTGTTTTTGCTGTTGTATCAAGAAATGAGCTGTCACCTGGTCTTGTTGGACTGATGATTACTTATGCGCTTAGGGTAATTTAATTACATGAATTTAATATTCCTAAATGTCTGTGTTATAACTGGGGTCTATGTATCCTGCAGCTCTGCAGTGAGAGGGTTTAGTTTACACTACCATCAAGTTCCCATCTAACCAATTCAGTATTCACCCTAGAGTTCTGACAAGTACCACGACATCAACGTTGACAAATGACTTGATAGGATGGCGTTAGTTAACTCTACAGTTTATTGCACCATACTAATACATACAACGACTTGTACAAATAGTATTAAGACTAGACCACATATACGGCCTCACCCCAAGACTACAAGAACAAGACATTTTTAAGCTTCTTCCCCGGCAACAACAATCCCACACTGAAACGTCACATTCTTGTGTACAGCGTCAATTCTTCATGTGTTCTTTATATCTTACCAATATTCATTTGCACTAACATTCAATGTTTAAACACACATCTTAACGGTCTATACCATCCATTTAGTCCAATCTGTAAAAAAAACTTCCCCAAAGTCTGTGATATCTTTTCCTTAAATAAAAATATAATAAAAGATTTAAAAAAATATTTAAATTGCATTTTAAGCCCCTTCAAAAAAAAAAAAAACAACTTGCAAGTTGACATTTCCAACATATTTACTTTAAAAAAAAAGAAAAAATTAACACAAATGATAAAACCTAAAACTTTGTTTGAGCTGAGCTTTAAAAAATTGTGTTTGTTTTTTATTTTTCATTGTCTAGAATCTATTGTATAATTTTAGGTATCAGGTGACTTAAACTCATTCACCATGGAGTTTGGCAATCTTGAGAATCACATAGTTTCAGTAGAGAGAGTCACTGAGTACACAAGGGTGCAAGCTGAGGTAGGGATGTGCTCTGTTTTTTTTAAAAAATAGACACAATGGCAATTAATCAGATAGTTTTTTTAAGAATGCTGATGGCAATAGTAGTCATACCCATTCAGAATCATGGTTATTTAACAGTGGTAAATTATCTATTTGCTTATTTAATAGTGTTGAGTTGAAAACGCAATTGATTTAAAATTAATTTTATAAAGTGAAATTGTCAAATTTATTATGTAGGTTTACCATAAAATAATGTATCAAAATTAGTTATACATATGTTTTTTCTTTGAGGCTGTGATGGAAATTATTTATTCTTAAAACTGATAGTGTACTTTTAAAAGTCACATTTTTTTAATACCTGAAAAACTATTTTTGACCAAAAAGAACATTAGAGCTAGCAAAGGTATTGTTCATTACAGGCTCCTTGGCAGCTAGAGGCTGTGGATGATTCATGGCCTACCACTGGAAAAATTGAGTTCATAAACTACAGTACAAGATACAGGGAAGGACTTGACTTGGTTCTCAAAGAGATTTGTTGCACGATAAACAGTGGAGAAAAAGTAATTTTTGTTGTTTAATCATTTTTGAGGGATCTTACTCAGTTTAAAAAAATGCTCATTATTTTTTAATGCTCTTTCAAACTTTCCATGTGTAGTCTTAATTAAAAACACACTTATGTTTTATTTAAACATTTTTGAGAACATCAATGTCGGTATCTGAAGACATAACATTAATAGTTTAAACATAGAAAAATATGGTTGAAAATTATTTTTATTTGAATAAAAAAAAACGACCTGCTTTATTTGTTGTTTAGGTTGGAATAGTAGGCAGAACAGGGGCAGGTAAATCTTCAATGATGTTATCACTTTTCCGCATTGCTGAAGCTTCTTCTGGTCAAATACTTATAGATGGACTGGACATTGCTCGTCTTGGGCTGCACACACTACGTAGAAAGCTGACCATTTTACCACAGGTTAGGTTACATTTGGAATCTTGACCTTATTATTGACAGCTATGTTAAAAAAATGTTAAATCTATAAACAGAAATCTAATGAATACTAGTTCAACTACCTAGCAGGCCTATCATATTAATAGAAAAAGTTTTTTTAAATTTTTATAGGTTAGGTAAAATTAATTGAGAAAATACTTGAAGCATCTTTAATATGATTTTAATATATTTAATTAATCATAATGCATGGCTGTTGATTTGCAGAGCATTATATGTTCAATTAGACTGAATTGGTTGTTGTAAATATTTTAAACTCAAATAACTGTATTAAAGTAAATTAAAATATTTTTCAATGAACAACTGAGAAATTTTTGACAATCTTGGTGATTGAATTTGTGGAATTGTTTTTTTTCTTCATCTTTTCCAAATGGAGCATAGGCAATTTTACAACACCTTTCCTTGCTTTTCAGTCCTTTGCTATTTTTCTTTCTAATCATTTTCATGCCTTTTTTAATTTGTTTATTGGGTCTCCTCTTTAAAAAAAAATCCTAAATAGAATTGTTTATTTTATTACTATGGCAACACAGGACCCTGTGTTGTTTGCTGGAAGTTTGAGGATGAACCTTGACCCATTCAATGAAAAGACTGACTCAGATCTCTGGAAAGCTTTAGAACATGTGCACCTGAAATCTTTTGTTGAAGGACTACCTGGTGGCTTAACACAGGAGGTTGGGGAGGGAGGGCAAAGTTTAAGGTATGTGGGCCTATGGCAAAAACAGATTTTGTTTTTATAAGATGCACCAGCATCTTTTTACATGTGTAAATATAATGTTATATATATAAGCAACAATTTATGAAATAAAAATTTAAAAATGTTAGCTGCAGTGAGGTATTTGCAATTACAAAAAGAGGTAGTGTTAGTAGCCTCACAAATGTTACCTCAAAGAGGAAAAGCTAGTGTGCAATGTGTATTTTGTGCGCGCTGTGTTCTAAACGTCTTATACAAGGATACATGTATTTTACATAATGACGGCATGGCAGGTTTAAAACTACTGCACGGCCACTCAACCATGCAGATTAGAGGGAACATAGGTTATGACCCAAGGTCTTCATCATCTTGAGCACATGAAGGTTTAAACAAAATAGCAACATAGACTTGAAGTTTTATCTCAATGTCATAGGTAGACATAAGTACATATTAAAGTCACAAAAAAGTCAGTCTACAACCAGACAGGATTGTAGACTGACTTTCTGATTTTAATAAGTACTTATGGCTACCTTTGGCATTGTGTTAACACTTTGTCTATATCGCTATTCCATTAACAAGTCCTGCTTCTAAGCCATTCTTCATAATTTCTAACAATAACTGTTCATTAAGCCTATACTGTAGTCCAATATATCAATATCTTAAAAAAAAGAATAGTAGTTACACAATTACATTGCTATTGAGCAGCGTTTCTTCCAGACGTTTTCTCGGGGGGGGGGGGGGGGGGGGAGGGAGGCACTTGATATTTTCGGGGGACACTGGTAAAAGTATGTTTTCTATATAAATTCCATTTCGTTCGGGGGCCCGAAGAGATGCCTAGAGGAAACTCTGCTCTTTTGTATTTGGCTGCTGCATTGATTAGAGTGACATCCACTTTCTGTATCTCCTCTCAGCATGGGTCAGAGACAGCTCATTTGCCTCGCCCGCACGCTGCTGAGGAAAACTCAGGTCTTTATCCTAGATGAGGCCACAGCTTCAGTGGACATGGAAACTGATGCGTTGATTCAGAAAAGTATCAGGGAAAATTTCAAAGAATGTACAGTACTCACCATTGCACACAGGCTTAACACTGTCTTGGATTATGACAGGTAGGGCGAATACTGTAAAGGAAGTCCCATATATTAAAGAGATGGTTTTTATAGGCTAAACTTAATGTCTAGGTTAAAGCTTGATTATAGATTTTTTTTTTTTGCAATAAAAATATGAAAAGTAAACATTCACTGTACATTGTAAAGATATATTTTACCTTTGACTAAATTAAAAAACACTTATTTTGACTTCAGATTTACAGTTAGTGTTGAGAAACTAAAAACGAAGTAGATTAGCTGGTTTATTGTTTTTAATAATTTCCTCTTTAATTAAAATTTCCCCTTAACCAGAGACAGATACTAACCAGTGAACGTTCTTTATAAGCTCTACTTAAATTAGGAAATATGATGTATGAGTGTGTGTGTGGGAAGGGGGGGGGGGAAGGAGGTATTGATGAATTTTAGAAAGTGCCAGAAGGGAATTAAAAATCCAAAAGAAAGCAATAAATAAAAAAAAATAATTAAAAAAAACTTTAAAAAAAACCACGTTTTTCTTGTGGACTAAAAAGTAGAAAATAAATTTTTCTTTTGTGCTTCCTCGAGCTGTGCAGGTTCTTGTGATGACTGACAAAAAACGTGGGTACGTTCACCATCAAATTTCCCGACCCATCTGCCCGACCCACGTTTTTTTTGTCAGTCATCACAAGAACCTGCACAGCTCGAGGAAGCACAAAAGAAAAATTTATTTTCTACTTTTTAGTCCACAAGAAAAACGTGGTTTTTTAAAAAGTTTTTTTTAATTATTTTATTTTCTCCTTTTTAGTCCGTTGCTACACATGAAAAACGTGGTTTTTAAAAAAGTTTTTTATACAGTTTATTTTCTACTTTATCTAATGACTTGATTAAGTATGACTTGACTAAGTGTTTATAAATACACGGACTAAAAAAATCTTGTGAGACCAGGATTCGAACCTGGGTTGTCGCGGCCACAACGCGAAGTACTAACCACTATACGATCACGGCCAGCGCGCTCACATCGATTGGGGCCGAAGTAACTGTGTCAATAGGCCTCCAGTCTTGTCGGTATCTTTAGAAATCATGTCCTCAATTTTATGGTCCTTGGGGCGTAATTAAATTAAGCTAATTACGGTCTCTAATTGCTAGTTTTTATGATTGCATCTGAAATTGTTAGGCGAAAGTAGCCTGCATGCCAAATTTCAGATCTGTAGAGCAATCAGAAGTGGGCTAATTTTCGATGTCAATTTTAACAACAAACAAATCCATCCACAAACGCGAAGCTGAGTTAAGAAAAACGTGTTAATAATATCAATAACTCATGAAACTGGACGGAATAGTCTAGCGGTAGAGAGCTGGACTGCTATCCCGTTAGTCTCGAGTTCGAACCTATGTTCAAGTCAGTAGACCGTCCCTGAGTCCACCCAACTCTGATGGGTACCTAACTCACGTTAGGGAAAGTAAAGGCGGCTGGGCATAGTTCTGACCACACTATCTCTTCACAGAAACAAGTGAACTCTACTACACTTGCCCTATAGACCGTCAGGTTTGAAAGGGAACTTTAACTCATAAAACTATGAACTACTATATAACATGAGTACTTTTTTTTCCTCTCTACACAGGATTCTGGTTCTAGACAGAGGGCAAATTGTGGAGTTTGATTCACCAGCCAATCTTTTATCCAACCATGACTCAGTATTTTATTCCATGGCATCTCAAGCTGGTCTTGCTTAGTCATGTAATCTAGTCAAGAACTTGCATCGTTTGTGAACCCGCGTGCTGTTGTTCTGGGTAAAAAACCAGAACGGTAAATAAAAGCACAGCGACTTATATTTTTCCGCAACTAACTGCCAAAAAAAATGTACTATAAACATTAACTCTAATTAAAATATTTTTCACTAAAGAATTTTTTGTTATGAACTTTTTTATATCTTATAATAAGCATCTTCACAACAACTCGTTTTAGAACAATACCTTTATTTAGGCTTACAATGTTTATAAATTTTGTCTTATTCTTAGCAGCAACAATAATAGTGTTACATAACAGATTACATATAATAACTAAATAAATATTTGTTTTCTGACATAATTGTAGTCCTTAGTATTAAAAGTACAGAATGACAATTTTTGTTAGAAATAAATGTTCCTTTTCTTTTCTAAGAATATTCGGTGGTATATTAAATGAAAATTAAATGCATCTAACATTTGAAATTTAACAAAAAACATAAAAGTATATGGACTTTAATTTTGTTACTAAAAAAAACCCCACCAACCAAATAATATGCATATATTGTTTGTTATAGACCTGTATCTTAAAAAACATCAAATCAGCAAAAATTCTGAAAAACAGAATTAAAACCACTCAGGTACATTAAAAACAAGAAAGTCAGCTGGAGAGTTATTCACAACAGCAGAAGCGAAATAATTCCTGAAATGATTAGAACACAATTGATACAACTTAAGCATTGATAAATAATGAACTGTGATATAATTATGTAAGTCATACAACTGGATTTGTTAGTTCTTCCACGTAAAAGTAAATCACAGAAACATTAGCTATGTTGCTCATACAATAACATTTTCAGCATGTATCACTTTTGGATGGGTAGAACATTTCCTTTAAACAAGTATAAATATGATCTATAAATATAATTAAAACACTGAATAATAAGCTGGTGAATTAATTTATATTGGAAACTGTTCTTATGCAGCTAAAAAAGAATGTATGTGCTAGTTTATTCAATGTGTTGATACAATAAATTATTTTTATGTAGTAATAAAACTCCATGCATTTACAGAATTGAATAAATATTTTAAAAAAACAACACATCAAACCTTATTTTGTTGTACATAAAAGATTTTACGTAAAAAAAGTTAACCCTCACAAACAGATTAAATAATTTTAAGTTTTCTTGCCCTCTGTCATTGAAATAAAGTCTGGTAAATTACATTGTACAAGCTTAATTAATGAGATGAAAAATGAATATAAAAACTATGATTCCTGTGATGCACTAGTACAAAACAATGACCACTGGCTACAAATAAATCATGGCAGTCTGAGAGACAGGAAAAGCTGCATCGTTGTTGATGATGGAATGTTAGAAGATGTGGGAGGCTTGAGAGATTTACAATCCTGCGTCCAGGATCCTGACAAATTCTGGACAAAACAATCAAGAAAATAAGATAAATAACAAGAAAAAAAAACAACAATCAAAAACGTTTTGTTTTTTAAAAAAAATTAAATAATTCTGCAAACTGCTAATTCTTTCTGGGAAAAATCTAAGGAATTATTGAATACACATTGTGTTTGACACCTACCCTCAAAATTGATCTGGCCATCTCCAGTCAGATCAGCTTCTCTAATCATCTCATCCACCTCCTCATCAGTCAACTTCTCACCAAGGTTGCACAAAATGTGACGAATTTCACTGGCATTGATCAAACCGTTGCCATCCTTGTCAAAAATTCTTTAAAATATAAAAAAAAACAAGTTAATAATGAATATACAAATTAAAAACCTATTACTAACTTTAACTATTAGCCATAAACTCATCTTTTTAATGTACTTAAAAGGCAGATGTGGGACAGCAGGGCCAAATAAAAAAAGTGTGTATCTGCTAGCCCCAAGGTTCTGATTGTAGGACGTTAGAGAGTCCGCCCAGCTCTGAGAGGTACCCGACTTACTGTGGGGGACATAAAAGGCTGCTGGGCACAGTGCTGACCACACCATTCCTTCATATGCCAAGGTCAAGTAACCTAAACTCTACTTCATCTGTCCAATGGATCACTCAGTCTAAAGAGGTACTTTACTTATTCCCCAAACCTTTACCTAACACAAACAATGTATAGTATTGTTTGATGCTTATACTAGTTATATTTGCATTACAAAATAATGGGTAAGGTTTATCTATAAAAACCTAAACAGCAAGCTGGGGTAGAAAGTGTACAGGATAAATAAGTAAACTGACCTAACACTAACCCAATTAGTGTACTAGACAGACAACAAATAACCAAATTACCTGAATGCATCTCTTAAGGCATCAGGAGACTCTGGGCTGAAACCATACTTAGTAATTATAGCATCTACCTGCGCAAGTGTTAGAGCATTAATTCCTGGAATAAAAACAAAAAGTTTTTCTTAAAAAGTAAAAAAAAAAACAAAAGAAAAATACATTAAAAAGGTAGATAGCAGAGAAAAACAGAACTGACAAAGAATGGACAAGAATCACTTACTGCAGGAGTATTTAAATAATCTTCAATCTATTTGTAAACAAAATAAAAATGGGGTTCATTTTTCAGTGGGGTTCATTTTACAGTGTAATACATGACGGCTCGCCAAAAAATGTTTGATCCTTGCAAAAAAAAGAAAAATTGGATTTTTCAACGTATTGGTATAGAGCATGTACAATGACCTCATATTTATTGTACAGGCCTGTCAAGTTGTATTGTCAAATGCAACATAAAATATTAATGTGCACATCTATAACCAGGTGCAAAGTTAAACTTAGCCTTGTTATAATTCCAACAGAGTTCAATATTATTACCTTTATTTCTAAATTCACTACACAATGATTCTAGCTGAGCTTCAGTGGGGGCACGTCCAATGGATCGTATGACAACGCCAAGTTTGCTTGGTGGAATGGTGTTGTCAGAGGAGCAATTCATTGTGAAAGCCTCTTGAAGCTCTGTTTAAGTAGATAACATCAAACAATATCAATTAGAGTGTGGTCGATATAGATTTATATTTAAAATTAAAAATATCAGGCAAAAATTAATATCAACCTATTCATTAAGTAGGCTATAAAAAGTAATTTTTTTTCTGGGGGCCTAACCTAAATACAAAATATCATACAACTCTACTACTTACTTTATTGACTATGTAGTACAAAGCTAATCAGAAAATAATAATCATTAAAAAAGTTTTAAAAAACCCACGTTTTCTGATTGAACTAAAAAGTAGAAAATAAATGCTATACATCACAATAATGCAAGCGATCACTCTACTATAGCGATGAAAAACTTTTTAGTCTTTGTCTGTTTGTTTGCATTAAAATCTTGCTATCGATTTTATCTTTTCACTTTTTTTTTTGGGTAAACGAAGACAACTCGTAAAAAGACAACTCGTAAAAAACACGTTGCGTGAATACATTACTGACTAGAACACATAGATTTGAACCCGTGTCGAGTGGGATAGCAATCGTGTGCCCAACCACTCAACCATATCGTCTCCCCCATACTGGCCACCAGTTGTTACGGTTGTTTGTACACAAATTACAGTTACTGGGTTATGTCCCTTTTTCCCCACGTTTTTACTACAACGAGCCGACCCGCGGCATATCATACGCCGCTATTTAGTTGATTTATTTTCTACTTTTCAGTAATTCATAATTTGTGAATTCGACAGTACCAATGCTGCCACTGAAAATATTTGCTTTAAAACACTACCCCCCCCCCTCCTTTCCCCTAACCCCGACCCTACACCCCCCCTCCCCCGTGAAAGCAGCCTCCTCTTAGTTACCTCCTGTAAGTTTAAAGTCGGTTCAAACTAAATTATCTGCCCCTAATAGCCGTCACTAAACCTGGCTGTACGGTTTTCTAAACATTAACGTGACCACAGCTCAGCAGACCATGGGGGGGTGGGGTAGGGTGGTAGTGATAGTGATAGAGAGAAAGAGAGGGCGCTTGCATCTTGTTTTCTAATGGCTCGCAGAGGAGAATTATATATATAGATTATATAGCGGTCTAAAATGCTCAATAAAATGTTTCCATGGATCAATTTAGTAATAATAACAATTGAATATTCTAATGTCATCCAAAACAAAGCTTCCCTGAAAATTTCAGCGCGCTAGCTAACTGGGAAGTGCCAGAAATTTCGATCGCAAGATTTGATTGGAAAGACAAACAAACAGAGACGAAAGCAAGTTAAAGAAAATGTGGGAAAAAAATCAATATTTTCTAACTTAAAAAGATGAAATATCATACCTTCTTTTTTGAACGGACGCTGTGCCTAAAAAAGAAAAAAATACAGTAATTTAAGTGAATAGCCTTATATACAAATGTCATACTTTTATTGTAAGGAGAAAGTAAGCAGCCTAATTAGAATTTGATTAGGCCTAGTGCTATTTTAGCTTATTTTACTATGAAATGTCTATTCCAGGCAACTGGGATGAGCCATACTAGGGCTATAGTACTCATAGTCGGAACTGTTTCAAATACATTTATTAATGTTAAAGATGCCAAAAAAAGTAATGTGGTCTAGTGGAACTATGCTTATGGTTTTAAATTTTAATAAAGGGAAAGGCCTACAATATTTTATTGGCAGATTCTAGCCAGAAGATGACCATGCACATAGCCTGTCATAGCGCTACAATAATCTTGTCATCTAAATATTCGTTGTTTAGGCCTTTGTGTTGTCTTGATGGGACACAGATAACATGATAAATACTTAAATAGTAGATTCAAATAGGCTATTAAAGTAGATGCTAAAAATAATTTATACTTAGGCCTATAGACTAGATCTCTTTACAAGACATACAATAACTATAGGCCTATGAACTCTCAACCACTGATGACCAGCCTGAAGCGCAACTGCTTGACCACACTGTACAGATAGTTTTGTCAGAAGAATAAGACTAAAATGAGTAAAATGGTAATTTGATCCCAATGTGCAGCTTTAAAAGGATAATTTGAGCCGGTAGCTCAAAATATTAATAATTTGAACCCTTGCGCAGCTTTAAGGTCATAGTATTTTTTATCTTCTGCTGGCCAGTGTAGTGTTGGGGGGGGGGGGGGGGAGCTACTTCAGAGTAGTCACTTTGTATTTAATTAGTTAGGCTGGTGATCATAAAATTATGTCCTTTTAAAAAATTACAAGAACTAGGCCTACGCTTATTTAAGCAAAATGTATTTTACTTTTCAATAACTTTTTTTCTGGAGGCCTAACCAATAGCCTACTAATAATAAATAAGCCGCCTATACTATAGGCCTACTATTACTAAATAATAAAAATATTATTATTTATTATCCCCTTCAGCCCCTTGCTTGGCCTAGGCGGCTTATACATTCAGAATAATTAATATCATATTATTATGTACAATATGTGTATGATGTATTATGAAAGCCGGTAATCTATCGTTTTAGGTACGTAAAATCGCCCGCGACTAGTAATGTGAAAAACAGGTGACTCCTTACATTTTAATAATTATTTCACATTTTGAGGAGGATTTATGTTTCAAAAAATACAAAAATGTTTCCTTGTTTCATTCATGTACCTGTTTTTAAACAATTGAATTAAAACTTTTCAGTAATAAATGAACACCAGCGATGTTTCCAACAGATGCAACCATGCTCATTTACTATAGCAGCCATCTTGTTAAAGTTTTATTTTTATAGACATATAGCGCAAGATTCAGGCGGAAGTCACTCTATTTTACAAATGGCTGCTGTTTATATAGGAAATCTTGCTTGCAGACACTGCTGTTTAAAGTTAATTTCTGGCCTATATTGATATATTTAGCCATTGATTTAGGTTTATTATTCATTTATCTATAATATTTGACACAAACATATGACAAAATACTTCTATTACAGCCTTGACAATGAGGTAACGTTTTCGTACATTAATAGCCGCGGGCGATTTTACGTACCCAAAACGATAGATTACCTGAAAGCCTACTATAGTTATAATGTCTATATTATGTAATATGTAGATCTAGATGATCTATGTAGTATGTAGTGTAGGGAATCAACTAGATCTATCAACTGGCCTCATTCAATCGTTCATTATTAATATTTCTGAATTTTCTGTAGCTCGTAGGCGTAGCTATAAAACTAGGCACTAGAATCTAGTCTAGAATACTCTAGATCTAGATCTAATTAGATTATTTATTAGAATCTACTTAATTACCATTGTCATTTATAATTGTAGCTTTAACAAACAAATAAATTCAGTTGGATTCCGAATTTGAGGAAGTATCCGAAATAAGGTGTGTACTCGCAAAATATCTACACCTGAGTGACGTCATACTCAGGAAGTTCCAAACCAGTTTCGAAACTAACCTACAACATTGTCATTTGGTCTTACTTAGGCTACATTACATTCACTAAGCTAGGCTAATACGTTAGGCATAGTCACCTCTAATAAGTAAACTCATGCACTAAAAATCAAACAAGCAAATAAAGTTATTATACTTTGATTAACTTTTAATTGTTTATAAGTTTATGACGTTTATAAATGATAAAACATGGATTTAGAATAAAAAACACAATTGATCCTATTTATTTTCTTTCGTAAAAATAATAAGATTTTTAAAAATCTATTGTTTCGGTATTAAATGTATTGTAATCTAGGCATAGACACAAAAATCAATGACGTTTCACACACGGAAGTGAAAGTTGGATAGCTGAACTCACATAATAATAATATTACATTGTCTAGGTCTACACCAAATCGAGTTGAATATAGCAAATAGTAGTAGATTAATGCATCGTTTACATACAATATGCCACTTTATGAAGGACTAAGCATAGGAGATGAACCCAAAGTTATCGTAATTGATATCGGGGTTGCATATACAAAGTAAGACAATCAGTCTTTTTTTTCATATTTTACTTATAAAAGTCTAAAAGTTGTTCAGATTTTAACCTAATTTTAAGGGTTACGGATTAGGTTTCAGAGTTTCTTCCTTGCATCTCTTCGGGGGGGGGGGGGGGGGGGGGGTGGGCCGAATTTTTTTTACCGCCCCCCCCCCCCCCCCCCGAATGAAATGAAATTTATATAATTTATATAGAAAATATATACTTTTAACAGTGTCCGGCCCCCAAAGAAAGTTTACCGCCCCCGAAGATTTCAAGTCCCCCCGTCCCCCCCCCCCCCTGAAGAAAACAGTCTGGAAGAAACACTGGTTAGGTTAAGGGTTACTATTAAGGATAGGGGAGACATGAGGGTTAGGATTAAAGCTTTAGGGTTTGGGACTATGTTATTTCAGTGGTCACTTTTTTTTAAGTTCGAAAAAACCAAACCATCAGGATTTTAAAACCATATTAGTGATTGATTAATTTTAATAAGTAGTAAGTAATTAGCCAATTAGGCCTACCTACTACCTACGCCAACCTACAACATGCATGATTTTAAAAATATTTAGGGACTAATGAAATGGGCCTCTTAAATAACTTTGATGCTATTCACTAAAAAGAGCAATAGGCCCTATAAAAACTCAGAGCCGAATGGAATTCGAATGGCATCGCTAATAAGTAATAATCAATTACTTATACTTAGCTCCTAAATTACAGATTTTTAAATTAAATTTTGAATTAATTAAAACATTTTTAAAATTTAAACTATAGGCCTAATTAACCTCCTTGCGAATCAATTAGTCCTAGCTCTAAATCTTCTGTCAGTAATACCAGTATGTAAAGCTGTGTTGCTGGGGTCGTTGAGGCACCAGGGTTGATTTTTTCCTAATTTTTTTCAGTCTTCTGCTCTATGTAATTCTGCAACTGTCTTCCCAGTCCATTCCTTGGTGCCCTCCATCCAATTTAATCTTTTCCTTCCTGGCACTGCACTTATTGTTTTTGCTGTTGACTCGTGTGACATGCCCATTTGAGTTTCTTTTTTTACCAAAGGATCAATCACATTTGTGATCCTTCCACAGACCTCTTCATTTGCTATGTGATCTCTGTATGAGATCCCTATGAGTATTGTGCAAACATCTCATTCTTAGAGCCTGGATCCGTCTGGGGGGGGGGGTGTTGTCCTGCATTAAGGGTCAATGCCCCACATCCATACAGGAAGGCAGACATGACCAGTAACTGCATAAGTTTAATTTTTGTGCCAAGAAAAGTGTTTGTCACACCAAAAGTTTCTTAACTTGGTTTTACAAAAGCCTTACTTTTTTTTTTAGAGAAACAAATTAGTCTAAGAAATCACTTTTAATAATTTCTTCACGATCTTTAAAAAAAAGAAATTTTTAGTCACGGGGATTAATGTCAGTGACCTTAAAATTTTTGGTACCTAGGCAATGACATAGTAAACTGTAGTTTAAAACTAAACTTAAGAAAAAGAATTGTCATGTACCTGTTAAGAAATTTGAAAAAATATAATTTTATATATATTTCAATTCAAGATGTGGCCTGGCAGGAGAAACTGGTCCTAGGTGTATTATACCTTCACAATGTACCAATGCTAGGACACAACAGGTAAGTTTACAGACATAACGTTGTTTTGTTTACTGTGAAATGAATTAACTAGAAGCTATTTTTCTAATAAAATAACAATTATTTACAGGTCAAGAAGATCTGGGAATACACCACTACAGAGGAACTATATGAACTATTAAAAGAGCTGCTGTATACTTTGATCTTTAGGTACATTTTCATGGTTAAATTAAAGATGGTATCAATACTTGAATATTTTTGTAATGAAAGTTTTTTAACATAATTATATTTGCAAAGTGCTTTAAAACTTGTTAAAAGTCACATTTAAAGATTATTTCTTTAAAAATTGATGTAACAAACGCATTTAAAATGGGTAAAGCAATATTAAAAACTACTATAGTTGAAATGGAATTACAGTATAATTTTGTAAAGAACCATAAAGATAAGTTTTGTGATGTGCAATAAATCATTCAAATGTTATTGTCTAATATTAATCAGGTATCTTCTTGTGACACCCAAAGACAGAAGAGTGGTTGTTGTTGAGTCACTACTATGTACTTCTGACTTCCGAGATACCCTTGCTAAAGTTCTGTTCAAGCATTATGAGGTAATTACACACTTGATTCATAGTAAAATGATAATTATCATTTACTTTTATTTGAAATGAAAGGGCATGTTTTCAGACAGTAGGAAAAAATATCACTTTCTCATATAAGGTTAGAAGAGTTGTAACTAACAGCATTTTTGACATAAAATAAATTTACAAAATAACTACTAAAATTGTTTGAAAAAATAGTATATTATTTAAAATGCAAATGACACCACACTTTAAGAACCTCTTACATTCCTCATCACCAATCATCATAAAAGTCAGATCCCCTCACCCTTAGGGGCTTGATGTCATTTATGAGTTACCCCTTTGGAGCAAAGTGAACTAGTGTTGATGTAGAGCTTTGGGATCACATCCTATCTAGCTACTGTTCTCTGTTAAAAGTAGCTATTTCCTTTACATTTGTTCAAGTAAACCATTAAAATATCTCTTGTTCTGTGACAGGTTGGCTCTGTGCTCTTTGCTTCAAGCCATCTTTTGTCCATGCTGACACTGGGCGTCAATGTGGGGCTGGTGGTAGATGTCGGCTATAAAGAAACATTGGTCATACCTGTATCCTTAACTGTGGCTACATCTTAAAACTTTGATGTTTGTTAAACTTTTATCATGATGTAGTGTAAGAGCTTGTCATGGATTTTATTGGTAGAGATATTTAAAGAAGTATGAGTTTTGGAAGTGAATAAAGATTTATGATTGAAAAAAAAAGGTTTTTTCTCATGCAATTAACTTCCTTGACTAACATCTAGGTTTATGAAGGTATCCCAATAATGAAGGGTTTACAGTCCATTCCACTTGCAGGCAAAGCCATCCACAGGTAACAGTACGTGTTATTTTAGGGCATATTTGAAGCTATTTAGTTTTTGATTTTATGGAATTTTTGAAGTCATTGTATTGTATTCCTATGAAAAAGTTTTAAAAATTATGTATTAATGTTTATTCCTGCAGTCGCATCAAGACACAACTAATGGAACATGGGACAATCAGCACACCAGACCAACAGCATCAGGCTGTTGCTAGTATCCCAGGTAATTATAATTTTGGGACTTCAATACACAAATTGTATGGAAAAAATACAGATGCATTTAGATCAGTGGTCTTAACTTTTTGGAAATACCAAACCCCCATTTAATAGTTTTATCATCTCTACTGACAAAATCTGATCGTGAATCATGAGTCGGGTGTGTGTCTTGACCTCTGCCGAACCCCTCATGTTTGATCGAACACAGGTTAAGAACCATTGGTTTTGGTACTACATCCAACATATTCATGTTCTACTTGTGAACACCCTAAGTTGTTACTCATTTTACTTTTGTAACTGTTTTGCTAAAAATAAATTATACTGTATAACATTATTTTATCAATCTCTTCATCTTTTTTCTATAGATTTAATCACAGAGGATTTATTAGAAGATATTAAAGGTATTTAACCATTTGTATTGCAATCTTGTATTAACTAGTATCTTTGGTCCTTCTTAAACCAAGTTTAAGTAAAATGTCTTGTGCATTTAATTTCAAGGCAGGAAAAACTATTTTTAGATCAGCTAGCATCCCTTTGTTTGACTGTATTATGCTTTTAAATTGTAGTGCGCTGCTGTTTTGTTACTGAGTACACACGTGGTCAGCAAATACAGGAAGTCACCATGCGTGGAGGACATGCCAACAAGGTAGGTCTCTCCTTTTTATGTTAATTTTTATTAAAGTAGTCATTAATTTATGCAGTACAAATGAAAGTTGCATTTTAATATTTGATGCCTGCTTGTCACTTTTGTTACAGAAATTGTTTTGGATAAACAATATTTAAAGCATTATTCTGTGTTAAAGTTGTATATCCAACACTGACCATACTGCTTTTCAAACAGAACGCTGTATCGGGAAATTGAACCTAGTAATAAAACTCGCAATAAAACTATAACATCTAATGTAAATTAACTTAAATTAAGAAATTATTGTTTTCTAATGGTCAGGTCCAATGAGTTAAAAGAAGTTGCGTAATTTGTTGGTACATTGTTTAAGCTTTAAAAATAGAGTATTGTTCTTCATAGCTGACAATAATTTTTTTATTACTTAAAAAACAAGACCATTTAAATTCAATATGCAAAATTTTCAGTTACCGCCACCTCCTCCGGATACAGATTATCCTCTGGATGGTGGAAATGTTCTAAATGTCAGTGGCCGTATCAGGTAAGAAAATTATTACTAAAGGCCATGCTTACAAAATTCTTATTTTCGAACATATGACAGTACACACTGTATTCAGAAAACTTTTTTGATACTAACCTGTAATATCTTTATACAAGGGAGCATTCTTGTAAAAGTATGCAACACTATTAACTTTTTTTTATAACTAATGTTTAATATTGTTTTCACTATTAGGGAACATTCTTGTGAAGTGTTGTTTGAACAAGACAATGAAGAGACTTCTATAGCAACACTTTTGTTAGAATCATTAATCCTGGTAAAGTGACATTTTTTTTTAATCTCTGTTTGGTTAAAGTCCTGTTATGAATGTTAAGTTGGAACTAATAACTCTAGCTCTATACAAGCTGTATCACTTCGTACATATAACATAATAGAAAATACTATTTTTGATTAGGATTTGAGGGTCTGCATGGTGGCTTCAGTAAAGTGCATGGTTGCTAAACCAAAAAGTCTGAGGTTTGAACCCCAGGGCAGATGAGGCTTGATAGCTGGGGAAAGCAACCCATCTAGGAGAGAAAACTCCAAAATCAAACAACTGTTGCCTTGTCGTTTGTTCTTGGTTGAACAAAAGCTGATAGAAAAACAGGCTGAAATTTGAGTCTACAACCTATGTGGCACTAAATACATTGACACTGTGTTGGAGGAAATCCCTTCCAACTTTACAGTAAAGAACAAAGAAGATGAAGAGATTAGGATTTATTTTCCTTAGTATGTTTTTCACAGCATCATCAGCTCTTAATATAATTACTTTCTCCCCCCCAGTGTCCAATAGACACCAGAATAGAACTGGCCAACAATGTACTGGTGACAGGGGGCACTGCTATGCTGCCAGGATTCTACCATCGGCTGCAGTTGGAGCTGGCTAACCTCCTGAAGAAACCTGTGTATTCATCACAGCTAGGGATAAAGCAGTTCAAATTCCATAAAGCTCCTGCTAAAGAAAATTATACGGCATGGCTTGGAGGTTTGACAATACATTTTTTTCACAAGCTTTTTATTTTATTGAAATGACTTGTTTTAATGAAATTTTTTCCCCACTTTATTGTTCTTTAAGATTTAGACAATAATTTTCAATTACTTTGCTTTCAAATATATCTTATAAAATTTATTTCCACCTATTACTATAATTCTCTGTGTTGTAGTAAACAAATTACTATTACCTGGTACTTATTAGGAAAGTTTCTCTTTATTTAAAAAAAACAACAACTTACAATTTGTCATTGTTGTTTAGAAATAGAAAGACAAATTACATAAGTAAATTTACTCTTGAAAGTTTTTAATGATTCAAATAGCTAAATTTCTATGATTTTAAATTATTTCCATGGTTTTTAACCACTAAATTTTTTTAAATCAACAGGTGCTCTAATAGGAGCTCTGGAAACTCTGCCCTCCAAGTCCCTGTCACGTGATGTTTATTTACAGAAAGACAAGCTGCCAGATTGGTGCTGCATTGATTCTGAATTCTTAATGGATGAAAAGTCCCACAAATAATGTGTAAATAAAGTTAGGATGCATTTGTAGTTTTTTTTTACTTTTTGGGCTTTGGGTAGTAGAAGCAAATCCCTTTTCTTGCTAATAATTTAACGTTTAATATCAGTAATGGGCCTGAATTGAGATAATTTAACTTATTACTTGTGTTAAAAATGCTGGAGAATATTACTGCTTAAACTATAATATTAAGCACTTTAGTCACATGGGAGTGTCACTGTGAGAATGAAATTTGAATGTCACACAGACACTCTTCTTTTTGAGAAATAGCCCTGATAATTGTTATGTATGTCTGCTAACATTTAGAATTATATTTTTGCAAGGACATTGATTTTCCCTTACTTTTTGTAAGCTACTTTACTATTATACACCTAATGGAAAGAGCTGCTTTTAAAATTCATTTAATGAGATCTTACTCCTGCAATGAGACTTAATGCAGCTTTTCTATTATCGATATTTTCTTATCACAATTATCAATTCTATCTCACTGTTAAAAAATTGATGCTGGGTCCTGAATGGCATAATTTTTTGAAAAACTGTAACTGAAAAAAAAAGTTATTTATATACCAGTAATGTAATGGTAATATTAGATATGTGTTGATGTCAGTGTTTGCTTACATGAATTTATTGTTTTGATTTGACCTATTTCAGTGCAATAAAAAAATCCACAAACAAAAACAGTAACTGATTTATTATTTTTATTTGGAAAAAATAAGTCACATCACATTATTCCAAAAAAAAAAAATGAAACTCTTGTTAACTTTTCAACAATGTAAACAAAATTATCTACAGTATCTCAACAAATATGAAAAAAAATTATTTACATGAATGAGGTATAACAATGAAAATAAATGCACAATTCAATAGTTAAAAGAATATTACAGCAACAAAAAACTTTTTAAATGTACAAAAATTCTTTCGAGTCATAGTATTTTATAAACATAGTAAACATGGCCATTGCTTTTGATTTCTTCAAATTTCTAGTTAAAACAAAGTAGAAATTTTTTTTTAAAATGGGAGTTACATCAACATAATGTGTATGTACTGCAAGTTGAAGCTGAGCAAATGGTGTATTTAACAGTAGAATTGTTAGGATAAAATAATATAAAAGATTATTCTGTACATGAGGTGGTGTATTCAAAGCCAGTCATTTTATTTTTCTATTGCTGGTTTAGAAAGTATAAATCCTCTTAAAACAGAGAACATTAGAACTATTACACTTATGAGGACTTATTTAGATGGTTTAACGAAGATAGACAAGTCACAACAACCAGCTAAACATTGTTGAGATCCAACGCAGGGGTCTCTGATCTCAGTTTCTTTATGTTCTCTATTTCCATCTCTTTCTTTTTCAAAAGCTGCTTCAGGCGTTCAATTTTACTGTTTTTATAGACAGGGATGGCCATCCTCTCGGTGGCCACTGAAGTGCTGGAAGTAGAGGGGGAGGCCAGGTCTGTAGGGCAGCCACTGTCCGCGCTGGTGGCACTGACCAGGCTGGTACTGGATGACGCAGGTGTCACCAACTCACCATCAGATACATCACTAGCCTGGCTTGGTTTTTTGTTTCGACAAGCTCTTGCTCTTGAGGATCTTTTAACTTGGTGTTCTGTGTCTTTATCTTCTGTGGGTGATTCGTCAGGTGCGTTGAACATGGGTTGTAGCATGGGAGGTAATTCGTCATAATTGTTGCTGTCATTATTGGTAACTTGCTGGGGGTCAGTTACTGTGGTAGTGTATTCATCGACTAGAGGCGGGGGATCATCAGATACTTCATCCATGGGTGTTGTGTCCATCGCATTATCCACAGGTGTTGTGTCCATCGCATTATCCACAGGCGTTGTGTCCATCACATTATCCACAGGTGTTGTGTCCATCACATTATCCACAGGTGTTGTGTCCATTGTGTCATCCACAGGTGCTGTGTCCATCGCACTGTCTTGAATATCTTCTGCTTTTATTTGTGTTTGGGTGCGGTTTGATGAAGAACTGAATTCATCAGAATTCTCTTCGTCAACAAAAATGTCAGATGACTCTTGGTAAGATGGTTGAGGACATGATGTGGATATCTCTGAGGTGACCAGCCAGTTGGCATCTATGATGTACTCAGAGTCGTCAGGCTCAGATTTGATCACAACACCAGGGGGGAGCGGGTACTTGGCTTCCAGTCTGGCTCTCTTTGCTTTTAATGCCTCTGGTGTTAAGGTTGGTTTTCTTTTGTTCTGCGGCTGGAGAATAGTGCTGTTTTGTGGTGAAGCGGTGCTGCTTTGTGGTGATGCAGTGCTGTTTTGTGGTGAAAATGTGCTGTTTTGTAGCAAGCTGCTTTTTAAAAGGGGTGAATTGCTATGTTGTAACATTTGGATATTGGGTTGCAAGCTTGAGCTTTTGTGTAACGGAGATGGGCTGGTCAGTGTGCTGGGGGTGGGGCTGGTATGTGTGCTGGGTGGTGTTTTTTCCATGCTACACTGTGCAGGTGAGGTTGTAGGCGAAGAAGCATCTGGTGCGCCAGTCTTGATTTCCTTCTTCCTCTTGTTGTGGGCTAGCAGTGATACACTACGTCTAGACTGGGGCAGGACCTGTTTGACCACTGTATCCTTCACCGGCAGCGCATCCTGTTTAGGCTTGGGCAAAATGGGGACCCAGTTTGACGGGACCACTGAAAAAATTTGAGGCGGTTTGGGCAGTATTGAGACACCTGGGCTTGTGGAGGGAGTAACAGGATTCATCTCACTCCCAGGTATGGATGAGATTTTGGATATGACCCCGTCAGTTAGGGTCACCCTAAAAGCCTTTTGTGCCATACTTGGGTCGTTACCTCTGGCAAGTAAACCTGGAGTGTTAACTGCTTTAGTTACTGCATTCTGCCCATCTAATAGGGATGAAATATTTGGAGCTTTAACAAGAACACACTGGTTGCCAATCTTGAGAAGGAAGACTTTCTTCCCATCTAGAGAGGCTGCCTTGCCCGTAGTGACTAAATATTTGGCCAGAGATTTGAGCTCAGATTCCACTTTCTGTACAGGGAAGTTCTGCAGGTTGGGGTCAGTGCTGCCTTCTGTTTGTCCCTCCCCTTGAAGCTGCTGTAACAAGGCACTGCTTCCTGGTTTGCTGCCCTGTGGTGACCTGCTCGACTGGACATTGCTTGCTGAGGTTGGAGATGCAAGGCTGTTTACAGCTGGTGTAGTCTTACTGTCTGTGTCAACTGCTAGAGTTGACGTTGGTCCAGTGACTTCAACAGCTTGGTTATTTGTACTGGCCACTGTTTCATTTTCAATTTGTGCCGCCTCCATTGTAAAAGGCATTGCAGAGCCGTCATTCTTCTCAAGGAGTTTTTGCAGTTTTTCAGCTAATGAAAGACGAAGCATTTTTTGCGAAATCAAATTACCTGTAAAAGAAACACCTTTCACAGTACCTTCAGGTTGTGTTGTTACTTTTTGTCTTCTACTGGGAGTAGAGTTTGTGGATTTTCTTGCTGTCTTCTTGCTGGACACACGTGCTGGTTTATTTTCATGTAGTTGTAACAGCTGCATGTCTGGTGAGTCACTGTTCATTTTCTCCTGCAGCCGTCGAAGTTTCTCTGTAACTGACATATATTCTAATGGGGTAGAATCAGCATCTCCGCCGGACCCAGATAATCTCTTTTGATGAAGCTCATCAACTTTATCCTTCAATGTTTTTTTAATTTGTTTCTTCTTCTTGTTTCTGATCATTTGTTGCCGTTTTCTATCCACTTGCCTTCTTAACATTATCATACGCTTTCTGAACTCTCCCTCTTTGTTTGAACCCTGCCTGCTTGACCTGACTGTGGTGGAGGCATCAGGACTCTTTTTAGAAGTGGCATGTTTTTCACTGTCTGCAGTTGGTGTTCTAAGGTTGTGACCTGTGTCTCTTTTAGGAGAATCTGCAACGCTTGTGAGAGCATGCTTTAATGATGAGTTGGATATTGCTGTGTCTTCAACAATAGGAGCAGGTGTTGTTATAGAAGCTTCTAAAGAGATTTCAGTTGTCTTCATCACCTGATCATGACTGGAGTTATGAGCAGGTACATGAAGTGTGTTCAGGTCTGAAGTTTGTTTAGGCGTTTCAAGATTTGGTAGGATGGACCTGTGATCATGATCAAGTTGTTTAGGAGTATCACAGGGAGAAACACTTTTTACAGGCGAGTCAAATATCTGTATAACTTCTTCAGGAGAGTCTTTAGGAACTGATTTAGTCTGGGAGGTTTCAGGTTTTGTAGAGGCTACTACAGAAGAGGTTTGAGCCTGAACTTTTGGAGTGGTCAACTTTTTCCCAGATGTCCCCACTTTAGGTAACAGAGATTTAACATTAACCAGCAGGTAAAAAGGCTTCTCTTGACCTGAGGCATCAGGAGGTTTGGAGCTTTCTGTGCAAGAAGGTTTGAATGCTTGTTTAGGGCTAGTTGAGAGTTTTGTTGTTGATTCTTTACTGCTGGGGCTTGTTTCTATTGTTTCTTGGTGAAGAGATATTTTCTCATTATTCTCTTGAATAATTAAATCCTCTGGGGTTTGAGTTGAGCATTTATCTCCATTAAACTCTTGTCTCAGATCTTCCGTACACAAGACATTTTGTATTGGAGGCTGAGTAATAAGAACTTCAGCGTTTAGTGACTTTTCAGTGTTAGGTATATTTGATTCAGCTTCCTTGACACTTTTAACAGATACAGCCTGGGTAATCTTCCGTTTAAAATGTTTAATTTTAGCCGGTTTTAAGAACTGTGAAACATCCGGATGGTTGATGCAGTTTAATAGGTTAAGATTACAGAGGTAGTCGAGGGTTCTATTCCGGCAGTGACTGCTGCACTGGGATTGGGCTCCAGTCTCGGTGTCGGTGCTGGCTAACCTCTCCAGCACCACAAAGCAAGGAACTACAGCATCCTTCCAGTATGAGTAATGGCGGAGATTGAACACATGAGTTTCATCACTTTCATAGTCGCTGACACATTCTGCGTCATCCACTGATTGGTCAATTGGTTTTTCAGTATTTAGTGAGAAAACGGAGGCAATTTTTAACTGGCAATCTTCATTGGGTTTGTCTTTTAAACTTGTGTTAACGTCAGCGTTCTCTTTACCACCTGGTACAGGATTTTGTGCTTGACTGGCTACTATGTCAGGATTTAACGCTTGTCTTAACACAGATGTGATTTTAGGACTTGCAGTTGATTGTGTGAGGATAAATTTCTGTGGTGGTTTGTTGACGTGGGGCAAGCTCATTAGTGGATTCACAAGTGTTAACACCTGGTTCAGTGAAGTGCTAGGAAGTGTTAACACTTGGTTCAGTGAAGTACTAGGAAGTGTTAACACCTGGTTCAGTGAAGTGCTAGGAAGTGTTAACACCTGGTTCAGTGAAGTGTTAGCAAGTGTTAACGTTTTCCTCGACTCATCCACTGAGTTGGGTACATTCAGCAAGGTGGGGGTGAACAATCCGACTCCCTTAGCCAAACCAGGGTCTTCGTATACCTCAGTTTCACTGTCAGAGTTGTGAACGTCATATGGCGGTGATGGCTGACTTTGGTAGGGCGGCAGTGCCTCATCGGATGAGTCGGAGTCATCATCCGAGCCCGGGTTAATGACCTGCACAGGTATGGGACCCTGGCCTGTCAACAATGAGGTAGTGTACACACTTGGTTTTCTCCCCGGGTGTTTTGCCTTGGGACCAGTCTTACTGTTTCTTTTCCTCTTGGCTGATCTTCTAGTTGGGTTTTGTTCCAACAGAGTCTCTGATGAATTTACTGAGACTGATTCATTTGACGTACTCACAATTTGACTATTTAATGAATCTACACTTTGGTTCAGTTCTGGTGTTGAAAGGTTGGTGGTAAGAATTTGAGGACTGATAGCATTATTGTTTGAATTGATTGATGAAGTTTTTGCGGCGGGCGGCCGGATAACATAGCGAGTAACATTATTTCCCATTGCGGAAAGGGCTTGAAATTGAAAAATACCCGCGGTTGGCACTGAGACGTTCTTGATGAACCTGACTGGCATGGAGGTAGACAGCTGCAGTGTTACAGGTTGAGTGGCAGCAGGTCTAGGAGTATTGGTTCTATTGGCAGGTGGAATCAACATCACAAACTGCTTCCCGGGTAGGCGAGGAGATGAATGAAGTCCGGCCTGGGGTGTGGGCAGGAAGAAGGTCTGGTTAGGTTGGAGAAACGTCTTCTGTTGCTGGATTTTAGGAGCCGGAGTTGCAGGGTTGTTCAGATTTTGGGATTTGTCATTTTTTTCTGGCTGCAGAGTAGTATTTTGTTGTGGAGAATTGACAAGCTTTGGGGGATTCTTGCTTTTTTCTAGCAGCACAGGTAAGCCAAGTCCTGATGATGGTGTAGGAGTCCTACCCGTATGTACTACAGTAGGAACTAAAGGTTCCACAGACTTGCACGAATCTGAGCTCACTATTTTTACATCTGATAATCTGCTTGTTGAAGTAGTGGTAGCTTGTGTTTTAGCCACTGAAGACACATATGGGGTTAGAAGATTTTTGTTCACCTGCGCATCTTTATTTACAGTTCCTGCTGAGCTCTCTGGAACAGCCAGGGAGCCGGATGTTAGGACGGGGGTTGCACCTGTGTTTTTGCTGACAGGTGTTAAGTTTTGAGGACTGAATGGCGGATTCACAGCTGGAGTGACTAGAGTAGCCTCCCTTTGTTTATTCAAGCTGTCTGAGTACAGGCAAGCCTTGACAACAACAGGGGATCCTTTGGGCACGTTAGGAGCAACTGAGGGTAGGAGTGATGAGGCTAACTGACCTGTGGTGCTTACATTCCCAGAGGGAAGTGTGAAGTAAAACTTGCCATTGCTTTTGTTATATCCCTGAGGAAGAATTAATTTATCCGGCGGAATAAAAAATAATTTTTTCGGCACATTGGTCGCTGGGTTGGCTGGTTTTCTAGACTTTTTCCTGTCCTTCTGTACATTAACCATCATGATAGGGGATTGGTTGACCTGATGCGTGTTGGTGGAGGTCAAAAGCGCAGCTTTGGTATTCACATCTGTGATGGCTGTGGATATTGAATTCAACACAGATGAAGCTGTGGTTGTGATGGTCACAAATTTGGCCGGACCAGCTTCAGGTTTTGGCGTAGGGATCAGCTGATCTTTGGGTAGAATGCTGACAGGTTCTTTAGTCATGGCTGCTAGAAGCCTAGGGTAAGCTGAAGCTTTGGAGGTGCTACACCTCCTACTGGTGTTTTGTTTATCATTAGAATCAACAGGAGAGCTGACCGGGTCCTGGTCAGGGTGTGAGGCTTTTAAATCCAGCATAGACTTGATTTTGGTTAAAGTTTGATTATTTTTAAGCGTGGTTTGTTTGCAGGCTTCCACCCCCTCCTCAACAACCTTGGTGGAGACAGCTGGCTCAGTTGTAGAACATGGACTGTCCTGAGGCAAATCTATTTTGTTTTTATCAGAGCCATTATCTAAAGCTTCTGGTTCATTCTCTACAAGAACAATTGGATTATCTTCACTACCTTCTTGAGTGGAGCTTGGCTTAGCTTTATCTTTTCTGGCTTTGATTACTTTAATTTGCCGGTTCAATAAATTCCTTGCTCCTTTTTTTTGTGAGTCTCTGGCAACATTGGGAATAACAGCTTGAGGTGAATCTGAAGAGTTCCCAGGAAGTATGAAACACTGTATTGGCTTGGCACCCGCTGAGGATGTTAGTGTGGCTTTTATGGCTGAATCAGTAGATGTTGTCTTAGGAGCAATCAACGCCAATGTTTTCAATTTATCAGTAGAATCTTTAGAAGAGTTCAGACTGACGGTCGCTAAGGTGCTTTTGTTAGGTGTTGGTTTTATGAACTGTGGTCTAAGTAAGGAGTACGGTGCATTTGGTGAAATCAGCTTCACTGTTTTAATTTGCTGCTTGGTTGAGAGTTGCTTCCCATCAACGGACAAGACAGGTGACGATGTGGTGGTTGATGTGGACAGGCTGGTTAGCTGGCTGTAGTTCTGTGAGGAGAGGTTAAACACTTTGGAGACGTCACCGTTTCTTACGACAAGAACTACATTGTCGTTTTTACCACCTTTGGAACTGGTGACGCCAGAATCTTGGACTTGTGACTCAGCCATCTTGTCACCATCTGCTGGTTCTTGTTTGGTGGATGTCAAACAGCCTTAGCCACTCATGATGGAAGTTTCATTTCTAACTTACAGGGACAAATCTAAACAAATGTCTGTTCATCAGTAGGTGAAATATGCTCAGTACCTGAAACATAAGAACAAAGTAATGAGAAATACAGATCTGATCTATAAGCCTTAATGATATTTATGATAACAATATGGGCAATTTTTCTAATTTCATTGTCAAAGATTTATGTTCCCATTCATTTGAAAATAACTACAAAATACCTATTAAAAAGCTGAGTTATTAGTTAGGACTACAGAACACACAATAGGCCTAACCATAGAAGACAATCTATAGGTAAAAATAAAGAAATGAAGCTAGATAAATATAGACTACAGTAAAAATAACTGAAAAAAAAAAGAAAAGTTATGTGATACAACTAAAGAAGGTTAAATGAACTTGAAACCAAACAATAACATAAGCCTATTTAGATGATTCTTCAAAATGAGAGTACTTTTAGAGATCAAAAGCTAAAGTGATATGTGTGCTTATGTTATATGTATGGACAAAATCATGAATATATTAAGTTTGTTTTGCTCAATCAATTTAGACGTCTATAGTCTATAGATCTATGTCAATTGCAGGTTTACTGGGTACATCATGCTTTGGTAACACAAACAATGATTTTGCTATTAAATCTAGATCTAGATAGATCTAGAAATGAAGTTAACCTTATTATTATTAGATTTCTAGATCGAGATATAGATCTATCTAGATCTAAATATCTATTTCTGGAGAAGGCAGTAAAGATTTTATGCATTTTTACATTGCTAAGCAAATTTAAATGTTTTCCTCAACAAGTAAAAATAAATCTCCCTCTGGACCCCCCCCCCCCCCCCACCTTTTTACGCTATAATAATTATAATTATATCGATGCTGCGTTTCAGTTTGATAATGAGAAAAATAAATAAAAATGTCACCTATTTTAAATGACAGATGTAAAATAGAACATAAAAATCTAGCTAGAGGTACGTTTTATTTATAGATCTAGACTAGTTTAGATTTTAAACAACGCGAAGACGTCAAAGTAGGTCAAACACAAAAACGTGTCATTCTTAGAAGAAGTAACCGGACATCGATTCGCTGATAATCGGAAGCTCCTCCTCCACATAAATTATGCAAATTAGCGACCTAGCCAGGATTTTGTCGAGTAGTTTGCTCCGAAAGGAAATAATAAAACGTAAAATGGATGATGTGAAAGAAGAAGGGCTAATTCAGTTAATACATTTCACACTGTTGGATTAAAAACAACCGAATGCGCCATGGCAAATTTAAAATAAAATGAATTTACCATTAACCGTTAATATTTCATACTAAATTTTCATGAACAAAATGTAATAAAGTATAAATATACATACCAAGTCACTGCTTACCATGCTCACATTTAACAACAATAAAAACCCCAACAATATGAAGCGACTATCACAGTTCAAGTAATAAGGCATTGTTAACTATAGCAATGTAATTTATGTAAGTAATAGTACCCAATAGTTATACATCTAAAGAACATTAGCTACTCATTAATAAAGCTAATAAAAAGCGTAGGAAAGAAGAGTTGTAATCTATATCTGTACATGCATTAAATAAATAAATAAATAAATAAATAAATAAATAAATAAATAAATATATATATATATATATATATATATATATATATATATATATATATATATATATATATATATCCACACACACAACCTGCATTAAAACTATATTAAGTCACATGAAATTTTTGTAAAATGGAACACACTGTATGTGATTTTTACCAAGTATCCTAAAGTTAGGATAAGGATTGTTTTTATCACAACTAATCAATGGAAACCCCGATGGTTAGGAAAAGAATTTTCGTATAAATAGGCACCGGGAAAATCCGAACGGGTGGAAGGTCGAAAGGGAAGTTATTTCTAGGAGATGTTTTTTGTGAGCTGCATTGAGCATCGCGATCCTGACGTCATGTTACATGACTCCATGAGTCACTGGTCACTGGCTGAAACTGATAAGCGCGTGAGGTCACTGACGCACGTATTTTGTCTAGGGAAGGCTACTCGGTTAATTGCTAATCGCTCCCGCAGGAATCGTGTGATTAAATCCAGGGATATCCAAGCATTTTAATGATCCAATAATGCATCACACTAAATTAATTACGAGGTTAATTTTGGAGTGTGTTGAAAAAAACAACAACAGATTAGCAGTTTAGTAATTACTAGTGGCGCTGGAATGTCTTAATTGCGGAATTCGCTTCTACAGGGGGCCGATGTTTTAAAATAATATCCGCGCTTTCACTTCACACTTGAGTTTTATTTTGACCGCCTGATGCGATCTTCAATGTCGTGGTAAACTTTATGAGCAAGACAAAAAAATAACAGCTGTTACATTAAAAATTGGCAGGAATTTTTTTTACAGGCTATTGTTTTTGGGGATATAGTTTCTATAACCTAAATCATAACGCTGATCCTGCTCCGGAACCTAAAACAAACTCATCGATGAAGATATAAAAATCTCGATAAATAGTTAAATACTGTTTGTGGGACTGAGTTGTCTAAAAAATAAGAATAAAAAACTGAAAGAATAAACAAATCATGAGGAGAATAAACAAAGCTAGATGTATTGAAACAGCTAATGCTTTGTGGACGGTGGTAGCGATTTCTTTGCGACTTTAGGAAAGTGGGACAGAGAAGGAAATGGGAGCAGGGTCATCTATTGACCCAACCTTAGAGGTCAGGGTCATTATGTCACATGCATAGAGATCGCCACGTGGTGTAATTGTGTCAGGGATGGGATCACACCGACACACGCTTGGAAGCAGTAGCGTAGCGAGGGGGGGGGGGGGCGGCGGGGGGGGGGACATATGTCCCCGGGCGCCGAGCTTAGGGGGCGCCAAAATGGGTTGGAAAAATAAATTGAAAGTTTGAGGGGAGGGGGTGCAAATTGAAAGTTTGAGGGGGGGGGGGGGTGTAAATCGAAATCTCGAGGGGGGGGGGGGTGCAAATCGAAATGTTTGTCCCCGGGCGCCGGGAAGGGTCGCTACGCCTCTGCTTGGAAGTCACAAGGTGGTGGCGTCAGGAATAGGATCACTATGACACAACTCCAGAAGTCACAAGGTGATGGCGTCAGGAATAGGATCACTATGAAACAACTCCAGAAGTCACAAGGTGGTGGCGTCAGGAATAGGATCACTATGAAACAACTCCAGAAGTCACAAGGTGGTGTAATGGTGTCAGGAATAGGATCACTATGAAACAAACTCTAGAAGTCAATACGTGATGTACTGTTATAAAAAAAAATGTTAAATTTCAGTAAATTGTTAACGACACTAACGATTTTTTGTCCAATTCTAAATACCAATATCAATATTTTTTAAATCATAAAGTTATTTTTTTAAAAATGTGTTGTAAATTGGATTTTTGAAAAAGCCTTGGAACATCACAGATAGAACATATTTACGGCCCTGATTGTGATGGTACCCCAAGGAGAAAATAGAAGAAATATTACATTTAAATACAAAAAAAATAAATATATTTTAACCATTCTTATAACTGCCAACCCTCTTGGAAGTTTCAAATGTTCCCTAACACTGGAGCAAATTTCTGAAAGAAACCCCTGTACAGATTTTTATGCTAAATTAAATGATACAAAAAACTACGATGTTTTATAGGCTTTTGTTTAGGATATTCAATTTTTAGAGATCAAACCCATTCAAAAAACTAAAACCACAAACTGTATTACTTTAAGCTATATAAATTATAAATGTTTCTATTTTAATGTTCAAGCTTGTGCCAGTTTGCCCCAGAATTGACCGAATCGACCACGCTATCCCTTAATTTATCGTCGTCACGCAATCGGGCAAACCCTATTTCATCCTCCATATAGAGCAAAGGCTATCATAATAGGAAAGGATGCTTTTGGAGACCTTTTTCGAAGTATTTTTTTAGAGCCTACCTAATGAAAGGTTATAATTAGACCACCACGTGTAACGAGCCTCTGTTTCTTAAGAGCTCATGTTAATTTAAATGATACAGCCGACAAAAGAAAGCGCCAACAGTATTATCAACTGTTTTGTTAATTCTTTTCGATTTTTAAATTCAATTTTGATTGTACGACGTGTTTCGAAATATTTTCAATTATTTTTTTTTTGACAGTACTACAACTAGTTGAACCGGTATGTCGCAAGCTCTGGTTGAAAGGTGGATTTCTTAATCGGTTTATATGTGTGTATGTGTGATTATTAGTGCGTGCTTGTGTGCTGTGAGGGACGTTTGACATAGTGTGGAGCCATTGGTGCCTTATTTGTGCGTAATTGTGTGCAACCATTGTCACGGTATCTGAGCGCGCATGAGAGCGGCAAATTGTGAGTTTACTCCACTAAATAAGATATTTTTGGGAGATGTTTTCGGAGGTCGCGAGTGACATTACCCCCCCCCCCGGACATTCCCCCCCCCCCCCCCGAGCAATTACCCCCGGGGAATTATCCCACCCCCTCAAGTTAGAATCCTAATTCTAACTCAAATTCTATACCTATATATTACCTTAATCCTAACCTTAAGAAAAAGACCAAAACCTAAGCATCCACGTCAGCCTAAAACTTAACACAAAACCAACGCTAGACGTTTAGCCTAACCCTAGCCCTAACCCTGTCCGCGGGGTGGGGGTAGTGTCCTACTGGGCGAAGGTAATTAACAGGGGGGGGGGGGTAATGCCCTGTTCCCGTACTTTGTGAAGTTCCCATAAACGTAACAATTATTAAACACGTTTAAACATCCCGTAGACACTATAAATCCGGACTCATGACATTAAATTTGTCTCCCCTGATTACAGCAGCCTTAATTTTTCTTACATCTAATAGACACTGTAGCTTTATGTATGGTTTAATTTGTCATACCACTCCACGTGTTCAGGCGTAATAATGTTTATACGTGGGTATAGCTTCACGCTGTGTAACCCCCTCTTCCTTTTCAAGTTGTATACACAAGTTAGACCCTGTTACTAAAATGACGTCATCAATTCTACCTGCCATCTGATATAACTATCATATTAACGGAAGTTAACATTTTTTGATTTAAAAAAAATTATGCCTTCAGATTATTTAATCCCCCACCTCCACTATTCCAATTGGAAGATCCTCGCGACAGTAAAATATATCCTCCCCCCCCCCTACCAGAAGCGTGAGTTAATTCACGACCTCTTCATATCACATCATTTCAACACCTGTCAGAACACTAATCTATGCATATCAAATCAAATCACGTGAGCCAATGACCAACACTAATTATTTAAATGTCCACCCATTCATTAACAATCAACGATGTCCGGTCTAAATAAGATAGTGATTAATGCGGACAGAGAACACAACACAAAGTGGCAACACCAGAAACGTTCCTTTGACAAAACACTGTTAAATTATATTAACTTGCAGTAGCAATACTTTAGTTTGTATAGCAAAATTCTTTCAATTTAATCATTATTTAAACACCACTTGGCAATAGGGCTGGTAAGTAGGTCACAAACCAGTTCTACCGCTCAATAAAACCTGCATGAGCCATTGAACTGGTTGGTGACCTACTTACCAGCCCTATTAAAGCAGAAATCACTTATATGGCAGTAGTAGCCTCTATAACTAGTATCGACATTCACCGAGGGGTGTATATCGTGTATATCTAAGTGTACAAATGTACACTACCACGAATAGGCACAATATTCGCAGGAAGTTATATATAATTTATACATCGTTTAAAAGGAAAGAACAACGAGTCTTATAGAAAAGCTCCATTATTCGCAGCTAGGTAGAAACAGAATGTATGATCTAATCAAGAACGTCTGTTGTTCTAGAACAAGAAGAACGATCTCACTCAATGTTAGATTTGGTGGGGGTGTGGTGGGGTTGGGGGGAAGAGAAGGAAAGTCTACCGCCCCCCCCCCCCCCCCGAACGTAATGGAATTTATATAGAAAATATATACTTTTACCAGTGTCCGCCCCCCCCCCTCCGAAAATATCAAGTGCCCCCCCCCCCCACCCGGAGAAAAAAGTCTGGAAGAAACACTGTATATAAAACCTTTGGGCCATGATCGATAATGAGACAGGCCTTAAAAGTAATACAACCACACGTTTGAAACAAACCACTGACTACTGAGATTAAAAATAAAACAGCCCGTGACGTGTTCCTGAAGTTTGAACCCACCCTCTCCACGCCCCTGATAACGAACTTCCTGTAAACACCAGCTCCTCGTTCGATGCGCTTTAAACGCAATGCTAAATTTAATAATTTTAATTACCACTCACGGCTTAAAAGAAGGGAATTAACTTCAGGGCAGATGAAACGCCGGAACATTTAAAAACTCGGACTGGACTAAACCAACAAACAGGCGGCCCAGAAATCCACCATAACGTGGGCAAACAGTCACTGTTTCTTCCACACTTTTTTCTCCGGGGGGAGGGGGGCCGACACTGATAAAAGTAAAAGTATATGTTTTCTATATAAATTCCATTTCGTTCGTTGGGGGGGGGGGGGGGGGGGGGGGGGAGAAGGGGGACTGAAGAGGTGATACCTGGAAGAAACTCTGCAAACATTGCAAACAATTATTTTACTCTTAGCCAAAATAAAAATAAGAAAAATTGCGATTGGGCACTTTTAGTTCAGACAAGTAGACCTAAACTAAAATAAGACGTTACTACATATGTTTTAAAGAGTGGTAACGGTTCGTGTTGCTTGAAGGGCGGACTCAACAATGTATCTCCGCCCTATTTATATGCAGACAATGACCAGGGCTGATAAGTAGGTCACCAACCAGTTCTATGACTCGTGCAGGTTTTATTGAGCCGTAAGAACTGGTTGGCGACCTACTTACCAGCCCTATACGGACAGCTTCCACCTACCATCGGCTATACACGCCATCAGTTTAAAAAAAAAATCAATTCACTTTATTTTCTGACGTCACAGAAAAAAAGCGAATGAAACTAAATTAACTGCTTAACAAACTCGGACTGCATTTTAATCATTAATTAATATGATGCAGCCACGCCAAAAAGTCAAAATGCATCGAGCCAAATTATGTAACATGCTTAGATTTAGTTAAGAATTGCAAAAACGTAATTAAAAGAAAATTCTGAAGATACAAGGCACCAGACACTTCTGATGATCTTGTCCAGACAAGCCCCGCCACTAATGCAAACAGTGCACGGGTAAAAAGTTAAGCCCCGCCACTTTTGTTAACTCTTATATAATGCACACACGCAACCTTGACCTATTTCTGATGTCTTGACATATGAATGTTTAAAACGCACGCCAAGAAATCGAATCCTTATCCGACCTCTAACGTTAGGGTCATGGTTGGTTAGGGTAAAAAATAAAAATACAAGCTTCATATCCTCTTTATTATTTATTTTTTGGTTGGCGGGGGTTAACTTTTTGGCGGGGCGTATCTGGACGTATGTCTGGTAAAGCATGTCCATCAAGCAACCCTGACCTAACCTTCAAACAACGTAGGTACAGTTGTGGCTGGTGAATCAGTTATTGACATACTATCTAAATAAGACTGAATTGGACAAGTACTAATGATAATTTGTATAAATATATGACAAAGTAAAACAAAACTAGTAATGATATTGTGGGGTACTGTATTTCTGAGCTTATAAGTTGGATTTCATTCCAAATCATCGACTATTTATTTGTAAACAGCTCAAAAATTCATTTTGGACACTCTCCCTTTTTGGTAAATTATAGATCTAGGTCATCTATATCTAAAGTCTAAGTCACGAGGTCTAAACCTTTCTATACACTATACAGCAAACATCGATAGATACAGCATAACAATATTAACTAGTCAAATATAAAACAATACGTGGTAAAACTCCATTTCAGCGTATTTTATTCTCCGTTGCTTGTTTACCTCCAGTTGAGCGTATTTTATTATAACAACCGAAACACACCAAAACATTAGGAAAACACGATTTATTAATTGTATTGTATAATTTTTGTTTTATGCAAATGAAATAAATGTGAATATTTAAAAAACACGACTTGTTTATTTGTATTGTATTTTTTTTAAAAGGCATTTGTCTCATGGTGAAACTGATACACTGTTAATTATTCTGTATTATATTTTTGTATTTATGCAATAAATGTACAAACTCTGTGTTTTTTTGTTTGACAATTTCGCCAAAACTGAAAAAAATATTTTTACTATAGAGTTGTATGTTATTTAAATTCATAGTAAATCTACCATCCTTCCAAATATTTTGATATATGTATCAAGTATGATTTTTTTGTGTGAGTAAATTTCTGGCTTTTAAAAAAAAAAAATTGACGTGGGGTCGTCCATAAATGACGCCACACTCGTAAGGGTGAGGGGGTCCGCAATTTTGTGACGGTGTGTGATGAGGGGGAGGGGGGGTGGGGTTTCAGATGGTGTGACGTCACTTTTTTTGCATTATAAAAAAAGCAATGTTTAGAAAAACGAGGTTTTAGCCGTTATTTCGCGTTTTAGAAAACGGTTTTAATAAATTGTAATAGGAATTGATCAAAATACTCTATGTTGGCAGAATTCTGACAAGATTTTGGAAAAAGTATCGATGTTTTAAGAAAAATTCAACAGAAATTTTGAGGGGGGGGGTGGGTTGTAGGCTGTGGTGTGACGTCATTTTAGGGGGGTCTGACTTTTTGTGACGACGTGTAACGGAGGGGAGGGGAAGGAAAAAATCGTAAAAAAAAGCGTGTCGTCACAAAAAGCAAGACCCCCCCCCCCCAAATGAACGTCAGCACCCATCTGAACCCCCGTCCCCTCAACACACACCGTCACAAAATTACGAGCCCCCCCCCCCTCCCCAGAGGCGTAGCGACCCTTCCCGGGGACAAACTTTCAACTTTCGATTTGCACCCCCCCCCTCAAACTTTCGATTTGCACCTCTTAAAAGACTATTTAACACTCGTATTAATCACTTAATTAAGTGGAATTATCATTTTTCTCTATATATTTTGCTATTTTTGCCTTGGTGTCACCCCCCCCCCCTAAATGGTGTCAACCGCGCTACGCCTCTGCCCCTCCCCCTACTAGTGTGACGTCATTTATGGACGACCTCTAAACATTATTTTTTTAAAAATGACAACGTGAGTTGTCACACTTTCTCTAACACTCCAAGCCATCCCTCACCAAATCTCCACCCCCCCCCCCCCCCCCCCCCGGCCCACTTTTAGCAGCATTATTGTGCCTTTTAATACTTTTATTCAGTTTAGTTGAAATTGGAACACTTAATTGTACAAAGTGTGCATCTCTATTTTTGTAACCAACGAACAAAGCACTTCAGTCAGTCTCTTTGTTGTTTTTTTTATTCATTTGTTTAAAACAAAAATACAATACAAATAAACAAGTCGTGTTTATTAAACATTCATTTTATTCATTTGTGAAAACAAAAATACAACACAAATAATAAATCGTGTTTTCCTAATGTTTTGGTGTGTTTTCGGTTGTTATAATAAAATACGCTCAACTGGAGGTAAACAAGCAATGGAGAATAAAATACGCTAAAATGGAGGTTTACCCAATACGTTATACTAAGTAATTTTAATCTTAATATTGGCATTAAATAAATAGTGTTTATAATTTTAACACATATTCAATGAGATATATATTAATATGACGTCACTAGACTAATGTAAAAAAACAAAAAACAAAACAACATGCTCACGTCACTGTTACTATATATAGATCCTACATATACGTTCTACGCATTGGCTCGTATTTTCACACGAGATCGAAAATGTAACGATACAAGTCTATTCTTCAAAAGATAGATCTATGCTTAATGTGATTAGATCTATTGGGTTATGTAATTTTCTAAAATACTTTACTTACGTAAATTTGCATAAAAGAATAGATCAAATTATTGCATAATAATTAAACACGTATTTTGTTGATATAAATTTGCGGAAGTTACAACGCGCTCGGGGTCTATTCAATATGGCGGAAGAGTTATTTTTATTTGTACCCACGAGTCACTGCGCTGGTCTTAGGGAAGTAGCTAGAGCGCCACACAGTGGTGAAGGTGTATCGTCCAATGAGGGCTGAAATAATAAATTATTCAATTATTGCGTTTTATTTTTTTATACTTGTAAATACATTTTCAATATAAATAACAATAAAAGACATTATAATTTAAAAAAAAAAATCAACCATTCTGGATTGTCAAAGACTACAAAAAATATTTTTATTTTGTTTAACGGAAGAAAAGCTATCGCAGGGAAGGGAAGTTAACCGCACGCATGACTTTACTGCTGCGCGAAGAACTAGGTCACAGATCGCTAACAGTGAGGAGAACTCGTTGTTTATTTTAGCAACGCCTAAAATCGTCAGACGGCTCTTTTTTGCTTTACTGCATACTTTCAGTAAGAAAAATAAAAACCTATTAGTATACTAAATCAATGCATCTGTTTTAAAATATTTCATTTATAAAATTAAGCAAAGCGAGTTTATCAACTTCAATATGACCTTCTTTTGTTACTATCGATTTTTTCTCACCAATGACTGCTCCCTGCTAATGATAGTTTGTTGAGCTCGTGAATGGCTGTCTACTTATTTCCAACAATGCACCTTACTGGTACAATATGGCTGATCCGTTACGTTCTGACGATGGATCATTCTAGAGCAAGCCAAAACAGCTGATTCGATTAAGTAAAAAATATAATAAATAAAGAACACGATTAGATTAAAAAAATATTGATTTAATTTTTGTTTAAAAACGTCTTTACAATAAAAAATAAAATAAAAATAGGAGAGTAAAAAAATTATTATGTAAAAAAAAAAAACAAGAAAATTTTGGTTGTGTTTCAATTTGGTAGGCCTGTATTATTATTAAACTAAAACAAAAATTAATACCAGTTGCCTAGGCATTATAATTTATAAAGATCACAATTAATCATTAAATAATCATGAATCTTCCAGAAAGCAGCCAATTAAAAACACGTGTTCAAAACACATCATGTAAAATTATGTGTGATATAAATTGTATGTGTTATAAATTAGATAGACGAGCACGCTTTTGTGAAGGTATTTCAGCTCGTAAAGATTAACTCACAAATGTAGGGTCTCGTTACTTGAATAAAAAACAGCATTTATTTGAATAGATAGAGCTAATAAGCGGCACTTTTCAAATTTAGACAGAGTTCTTTCTATATTTTTATGCCACTTTATAAAGCTTATAATAACGAAAACTAGAAAAAAAGAAGTGTGCAATACGAGGAGAGTCAAAATATAAAACTCAACTGCTTTATAAAACAGCGTGTATCCACTTACTTGTATGATACCGACCTACGGCTCGCTAAGTAGCAGAGGCGTAGCGACCCCTCCCGGCGCCCGGGGACAAACTTTCAATTTGGCGCCCCTCTATATTTTTTATATTTATAATTAAAAATTGCAGCTGAAATGAGCTTTTAATTTTTTCCCAACCCATTTTGGCGCCTCTAGAGTCGGCGCCCGGGGACATATGTAACCACCCGTCCCCTGCCCCTATCGCTACGCCTCTGCTGAATAGGCTACTATTTCTAGCGGAGCCATTGTACGAAATGGCTCTTTTGTAACTGGGACAATTAAGGATAGTTTCGCTGAAGTGCTAGGCCTAGAGTTAATTTGGGCATAGGATGTGGACACAATTTTGATCACATTAGTGACAAGGAGGACCTGCGCGAATACTATTTGAATATTATTCCTCAAGGTCAACCCCTACCAAAATCCAGATTCGTGGCAATTCTTAATTGGAGTATCTACCAAAGGAAAAGAATAATTTTCTGTCTCTCTTGCGTATATTTATATAGTAAAAAAAAACGCTGTTCGGGGCAGACCGCCCCACACCTTCTCCTTAGCCACGCCACTGCCTCTACTATGCATTCTAGGTCTGAGTTTACTCTCTACGTACAAGAGAAAGGTTTCACCTTCTTTGTATGTCTTTTTGTTCATGTTTTACGGAGTTCTTTGCTAAATCAACATTTTTCAGTGACTGACAAATGTCCCGACTTTTACTATTGGGTGGGGACGGGGGAGGGGGGGGCATTTTTTTTTTGCTAACGTGAATAAATAATATATAAATAGTGGGGGGGGGGGGGGGGCGCAAAATTAATAGTTTGCCCCGGGCGCCTGAATCCGTTTCTACAATTCTGACGGGAAGTGATTTATCAGGTAACATGCACCATTCGTATTTAAACCAAACCACAAAATACGATCAATCTAAATTTTGATTTTCCAACTTTTGAAAATATTTTCAAGGAAAAAAATTAAAAGTTAAAATTTATATTTATGCCTAACGATACAACTAAATCATTCGTGCAAAAAAAAAAAAAATTACTTAGCTGTGTAATAAAATAGCTACCCATCATCGTTTAAAGAGGAACATGCATTTAATTTAAATTTTACGACATTCATAAATTAAAATTAAATGTGGCACCAATATAGCAAAAAAAAAAAAAAACATGATATATTCTAATAACTTATTCCTGTCTGTAATAAATAATTTTAAAATAGATAAACAGCAAGGTGACATAACTCACGCGTCAAAAAATCTGAACATATATTTTGAGTTAAATCCCTTGAAAATGACGTCATTTCTCCGCGGAAAGCGTATGGTGCTGGCGTACTAAAAAACGACATTACATGTTTGCCCCTGCTGTCGCTGCCCCCAACCCCTCCCCTCCCCTTCATCCATCCATTACACACCATTTTACACTCCGCATACTTTTTCGCTTGAAGGAGTTTTGTAGAGTGCAGGGGAGTCGACTCTTTGTTCCTGAGCCGGGGCATTATTTGGATGACATGTTGATGAAAACTAAAGGAATTACTTGTGATGTATTTGTGGTAGAATCAACTGCCTAATAAATGCAGAAACAGAAATCAACACAAAAAACAACAACACTCACATGATGCGGCCGCGTGGGCGCTGACACGTATGTATCCACGCACACACGCACATACGCACGCACGGACACACACACACACACACACGTATGCGCGCGTCGGGGTTGCATTGATTAATGTTCGCTGACGATCTCAATCCAATATCTCATAGAGTCGAATGTCTTCATCATAATCAGTTTTCGTTTAACCGTCAGTAAAACCAGTATTCCATAGTTTTCTTAAACCCTGACTTCACAAACCTACTATCCACTCAATATCCACTCATATCCATCCATTGTCCTCTCTATACCCACCCACCATCCACCCATTGTCCACCCATTGTCGACCCACTACACACCCACTACCCACCTACACAGCAACCATCCAACATCCACCCCTTATCCACCCACCCACCATCCAATTATCATCCACCGATCATCCACCATCTACTCACCATCCACAATCCACCTATCCACCAATCATCTACCAACCATCCACCATCCACCATACACTAATCATCCGCCCACCAAATAATCCAATTATCATCCACCGATCATTCACCATCAACACACCATCCACAATCCACCTATCCACTAATCACCCACCAACCATCCACCATTCACTCACCATCCATCCACCATCCATCCAACCACCATCCGACTACCAACCAACAACCATCTACCCACCCACCCCACATCATCATTCCACCACCCACCCACCCACCACGTCTTAAAATAGTTCCTAGCCGATTCTTCCCCACGCCCACGCCCACACACACACACACACACCTATCTCTCCCTCACATCCATTTCCTGTCAGCTATTTACGATAATCCCTCACACACACAAATGCTCCGGCTGATTAATCTTCTTAATTAGCATACCAAGATGAAAGCATGCCCACACATCTACCCAACACCAACTCGCCTACAACACGTTCATAACGCACCACCCAGCATATTAGCTGTTTTCACATAACTATCGAACATGAAAGAGAAACTGTTTCCCATCTTTCACTCTCACACACACACACTCTCTCACACACACTCTCTCTCACACACGCGCGCACACCCCCACACCCACACTCTCTCTCACACACACTCTCTCACACACACCCACACACACACTCTCTCACACACGCACACACTTTCTCTCTCACGCACACACACTCACCCCACACCCCACACAACCAAGACACGCGCTACACATTCAGACTACCAGACGATATTAAAAAACCATTTAAATGTTTTTTTTTTCCTGGTCCCGTGCGAAGATACATATTTAGTTCTGGAATTATTTTCCGCTCATACCTGCAAGGTATCTTCTTTACCTTTCATTGAAAGGGAGTGAATGCTCATGACAAGTGTTTATTGGCATAGACAGCAAATTATAAACTTTCTTAGTCCAAGCATGACAAGTACCCACTCTCACTTATATTGCAAATATTCCCCCCCTCCCCCTTCCACACACATCCCAATATTGTTATCATCCTATTTAGAAGAAAAATACAACAACCTAGAACCTATGTTAAAGACCATTTGTGTATAAGGGGTAACAATAGCACCTCCCCTGTTATAGGGCTTGTAAGTAGGTCACAATTTCTCGTTCTCGTACTTGCCAGCAAGTACATTTCGAGACCATAGACTTACAAGCCCTATAGCACATACAGTCCAATCAAATAATTTGTAGATTTTTCAGAATTTCTCTTTAGTATATTTACATACACATTGTCTATATGTTTGGCTTCCGTCAACACATAGTAGAAGAATACCTTTAACAATTTCAAAACTATATTTTCGTTGTGGTTAAATAGGGCTGGACTATAAGCAGCACTCTGTTTACGGAACAAAAGCTTGCATGGCGTGGGTATGCAGCATATTTTCTAAGTTTAAAAAAAAAAATTCACTTGGGGTTAGGGGCACTGGAAACTGAACTATTTGAACAGAAGAGACCAGTTTTATTTTGTAAGCCAACCAAAACCCAAATTTCCGCCGATTGACTTGGCTCAGCGTGCGGTAGTCATATCGTTGATGAGCATTTCCAAAAATGCTACCTTATTATAGTTTGAAATACAAAAA